TACCGTATATCACGGCCTATAAGGCGGCGGGGTGCATAAGACGCCCCCCCCAATTTTCCATTTAAAAAGTAGCTTTTGAGCTCTATTTGCTGTATAAGACCAGTACCCCAAATGTGACACTTAACCACGGACTCAGTAGTCCTTTACCAACCATCCTTGATTTTTTAAAATAAGGCCAATTCACTTCAAGTAATGTCATCAAATTATACCCGCTGGTGTAGTGTAAATACTAGTGACGTCACTGAAGCGTCTGCTATTTACCGATAACTGGAACTAATGTCGGTATCGAGTAAAATTTTTCCATTTACTTGAAATGGATTTACCGATTTATTTGTTTACTTATTTATTTATTTATAATATACTGTAACATATTAAACACACTACAAGTATTTTCTTTCATTTATACGCTTGCTTCACACGAGACGATCGGTGGTGGGAGTGTTCCCTCGTCTCGGTGGTGTGGCTGTGTTCCGACTATTTATACAACATGTAGTTCAACAGCAACCACCGTATTCTAATTGTGGTGTTTCATTAGGATTTGAGTGAAAAAGGTTACCAGTATGTACTTACTACATACATTTATTACACAAATATATATATATATATATATATATATATATATATATATATATATATATATATATATATATATATATATATATATATATATATATATATATATATATATATATATATATATATATATATATATATATACAAAAAATGAATGTTCAATGAATTATTTATGGTGCATTAGGGTACTGGTCACTTCTGATGGGCTATAAATAGCCTTCTTTATCTCCCCTACATCTCACCCTGAGCCAGAGGGAAGGGTCTTGGTAAATAACATGTTTGCTTATTTTCCATTTACTTTAAATAGATTTACCGAATTATTTGTTTTATTTATTTATTTATAATATACTGTAATATATTAAACACACTGTAATTATTTTCTTTAATTTATAAACTGTTTTGCGACAAAGGAATGTTCTCCAGTAGTGTTTCATTAGGATTTGAGTGAAAAAATATTACGTACTTACTACATACATTTATTACACAAACATATTTATATATACTGTATGTATACATACATACACATGCACACATTTAATTTACTAAGTCACAATATTTTAAAAGCAAATTACCGTCAAGTTAAAAATGTTATTAGCACATGATTATTACTGACGTCATCATGTATTAAAAACCTTCAAAATCCACATCATCAACATCTGACATCATAAGTTCTTCAAGTACATCCTGAGATACATTTATGGCTGCTTCATCATAAGGATCAAATTCCAAATCAGATGACGTGGCTTCGGCTTCTGTTTCATCCTCGTCCTCCCACAACATGTCATCCTCCATGCCATCCATTGAATTAGATATTCCGCACTTTTTAAAAGACTTGATAACTGTCTCCACATTAATATCATTCCATGCCTTGATAACAAAATCACATAGTACATCCAGTTCGGGAGCACGCATATTCCCACCTTTCGTGTAAGACTTTTTGCCGCTGTTCATCCATTTGTTCCATTGTTCACGAACGCGGTCCTTGAATGGTTTGTTTAGACAAACATCAAGTGGTTGTAAAACTGAAGTTAATCCACCAGGAATAACTGCAATGTCACTGTTGTTCCTCGCCATGTTGGTTTTTGTTCCCTCTGTTAAATGACTCGCGAACATATCCCATACTAACAGGCTACGCTGTTTTCGAAAGCCACCAGGTCGCCTACACCATATATGATCAATCCATAACTTTATTCCTTGTTCGTCCATCCACCCTTTCTCGTTGACGTGAACAAAAACTCCAGCCGGGAACTTGATTTTGGGCATTGTTTTCCTCTTGAGAATTAGCATTGGGTTCAACTTGGTTCCGTCTGCCATGCATGAAAGTACTACTGTAAACCGTGTCTTTTCGTGTCCTGTTGTTTTCACTAACACTGTTTTTGCACCCTTTGTATCGACAGTATGATTACCGACCATGTCGAGGTTCATAGGTGTTTCATCCATGTTTCCGATGTTGCTTAATGGATAACAATGTTTCTTACGTTGTTGTATTATGTAGCGATGGAAATTAACAATTTTACAGTTAAGATCTGCTGGTAATTTTTGTGCTATTTTTGTCTTCTGCCTCAGTACCAGATTGCTTCTTTCCATAAAACGGCTACACCATGAAGTCGTGGCTTTGAAGTCTTTGCTGTGCTCTTGATTTTGTTTAGCCCACTTAAGTGCCCACATACGTATCATGTTTCTTGATACAATATACCCATTTTGACGCTGCTCATGGACCATGTCTACTGCGTGCTTCTCTAGAATCGGCCAGTGTGCAGTGCCTCTTCTCATTGCACATTTATTCCTGGGCATACTTCGTAGTAAGTGTTCCTTTGATCTCCAATCCCGCACCATCTTCTCAGTTACACCGTATTCTCTTGAAGCAGCACAATTGTTGTGTGACTGGGCATATGCTATCACTTTCAGCTTAAAACAAGCTTCATATCTCCTGCGTTTAACAATTGGAGCCATGGTGAGGTTTTGTGGTAGCTGGATACAGTATTAATATACCGTAGTGTTCACACGGAGAGAGTGCTATTGCTTATGGAGTGATAACTCAACAACTGGACAAGGCAAATGAGAGAAGGGGTCACCTTACACATGACCTGACGTGGTCACCTTACACATATATGGTAATCATTAAGAATCAAACTCCGAATCAGATGACCTGCCTTCTTCTTCATCATTGTCATGCTAAATTTACCACTGTCGGTAGTTAAAAGAATTAAAAGTCATTTATTGAATATTCTATGTAAAAAAATAAATGTTAAATTAATTATTTATAGGAGAAACGTATTATGATCAATAAATATATGGTATTACTGGCCACTTCAGACACAAAGACGGGATAAAAATAGCCCATCTCCCCCTCTTACAGCTGCCAATGGGAAGCGTGTTGGTAATTAAATTTGATGTTTATTTTCAGTTTGTCTAATTTATCATGTATCAAATTAATATTACTAGAAATTGTGTAGGTAGTAGGCAGCTACCAAACAGGGAGGTACTACTGCCTGGGAAGATATTGGAAGCATAATGTGTTGTCTAATAGTAGACCCTGCTGCCATATGGCATCACGAAAATTGTGACCAAGTCCCAGGTTGCTGACCTGACTTTCTGCCTCATTTACACAATTGCAGGGTCTCAATTGTTTCTCTTACTTTGACAACACAACATACATACAGTATATTATTTCTCAGTTTTGATCTTTTTTTTTAATTTTTGTAACTATAAAGTTAGTTACTTAAAATAAGGCCAATTCACTTCAAGTAATGGCATCAAATATTACCAGCTGGTGTAGTGTAAACACTAGTGACGTCACTTGAGCGTCTGTAATTAACCGTCGATAGTTTCAAGAATTAATGCACTCAGAGGGTCATTTACTGAATATTCTTTGTAAAAAAATAAAATCTAAATCAATTATTTATAGGAGATAAATATTATTATGAGTAAATATACCGATACCGGTATGCATTACTGACCACCTCCACGGCTAAAAATAGCCCAACCTCGTGGTCACTTTCCCTTGTCTCCTCACTGGCAAATGGGGGGGGGGGGCGTGGGGGGGGGTGTGTAATGATAGCTGTGTTTATTACAGGGGTATAAATCTCTTTTACGGTATGTTAGACAGGTTTATAATACATTTTTATTATTTTAATATCCCGGTAATCTTAATTTGAATCCAGCTTGCCAAACGTAAGTTTCAGTATAAAATAATTAGTGGTAAGACCTTGTGAGTGGCTTACGATGTTTTCATCACCACTCTTGACACACTAAACCACAATATTTAAGAGGTAAGAATTTTAAACTTGGTGGTTTAGACGACCCCCTAACTTTGGGCAGATTTTTTTAATGTTCAAATTTCGTCTTATAGGCCGTGATATCATTTCTTAACCTGTTTCCAGTCATGACACTCAAGTAAGAGATAGCTTTGAGAGGAGGACGTCGCAGTCATCAAAGAGAGAGGATGAAACCGAGTCAAAGAAAACGTCTCGTAAATCATCGAGGTACTCAGGGAAGGCTTCGGATGCTCTTTTGTTACGTCGAGGACTCCAGGGTGCACCGAGGAGGACAGACAATGCCAATAGGTCACTCGGAAGAAGTTTGTCTGCTGCTTCCTCTGTGACATCACCATCTCCTGAAGAACATTGCTCATCTGTGATAATAGTAGAGAAATCTTCAATATGTTCTGAAGAAGATGGTGATGTTAGTTCGTCCCACAGATCAATTGTATCAGCCATAGGTAAAGCAATTTAATTTTTAGTCATATTGCTTATATACTAATTTTTCAATGAATTTATTATATCAGTCATTAACCTTTTTATAGAATGTACTAATCTGTGAGAATATTCCATTACAATTATTGCTCATAAAAACTCAGTTCAGGTAATAGTATTAAGTTTAGTTATATCCGACCAACTACCAGGTCTTGCCATCCAGCTATGTATGCTACTACAGGTACAGCTGCTTAGTTGCCTCCATTTACAACAGGTACAGTGGCTAGTGTGTTTTGTAAGATGTGGCACCACTGTTTGTTTACATCAAAGTGTGTGTGTGTGTGTGTGTGTGTGTGTGTGTGTGTGTGTGTGTGTGCGTGCGTGCGTGCGTGCGTGAACGGCAACCACCAAGGATAAGATACAGTGATCCCTCGGTTAACGAGTGCCTCGGTTTACGAGATTTCGGTTAACGATTTACCTTCCATAAGATTCTTAACTTCGGTTAACGAGCAATCCCTCGATTAACGAGTTTTTAACGAGCGCCCCTCCACATGTTTTTGTTTGCATTTGGCGGTCCACCAGCTGTAGTATTAGTCCGCCAATACAGTAATCGGTTCTAGGGCATAAATTCCTTACTATTTTAGTAAATATCAAGAAGTTTGTACTATTCAATAATTTTAAAAGTTTTATATTAATTTTTTAGTCATTTTAACAATTATTGAACATAATTGAAATATAGGAAGCTAGTTTTTTGCGCACCAAACAGCCTGTCAACACACCATACAGGAGTCAGTCTCTGTGTCTTTTCAGTGGAGGTAACATCTTGCTTCAGACTCTCTTCAACTAAATACTTTTTTTGTGTGTTTTCAAGCAAATTATTGGTCAATTTGAAATTTATTTTGCATATTGACAATATATAATGCAGTGCAGTGTTGATTTAAAGAAAATAATCTTGAATTACACCAAGAGAACTAAAATTTTATTGGTGAAATGGCACCACAATGCCTTCTCTTCTCCCTTCTCCTCCACCCCCATTCTAACTCCCATCATCATCCTCATCATCCAGGAGCCTTCTATATACACACCTCAAAGTATGTGTACTTTTCTACCTTTTTTGTTGATTTTAGGCAATTTTCGGTGAGCTGGAACCAATTACCCAAAAACCCATTGAAACAATTTTTTTTTTTTTTAAATTGAAACAATGGTTTCGGTTAACGAGTTTTTCGGTTAACGAGTTTTTCGGTTAACGAGCAACCTTCTGGAGCGAATTGCGCTCGTTAACCGAGGGACCACTGTACTAGTAAGGATAGTTCACCAAGCACTTGTTTTACCCACAATGCACAGCTTGGTGACATCACTGTTATAAACACACATTATCTGGTGACCTCCATGTGCTCGCGACTGCTCCCGGGACTAGTGTATCTACAATTATGGTTATTTGTGCAATATACGGGTGGTCAAATCCCAAGCTGAGAGCTTATCAAGTATCACAGATTTCCCAGAGATAAGATAAATTACTGCAAGTGTTCCTTCACTTTATATAATATTTTATATATTTTCTATCTCTATGGTTCCCAAATAGGAAAATTCCCAAATCTGATTGTTTCTTGTCCCAAGCTTGCCAGATAATGAGTACCGTACACTGCCTGTAGTAGAATAGATTTTTTCTTACACAAATTAATCAAACGTATGGTCTCATTCTTGCTCGTTTGGTTTAAAACTGTATTGGAAACTGAGGAGGTGAACAAGCCTCATCAGCCTTCATTTTGCTCACAGCCTAACTTGTGTTACCCAAATTGATAGTTTGATCTTTATTTCCTTCTTTTTTCTTACCTCCTTCTTTATCATTATCATTATATAATTCTTCTGCCAACTCTACACATTTTGATATAGAAACAGGTCAACATAATTTAAGTTAAAAGAGTAATACAATTATTTTATGTCTAATGTGAATAGTCTTTGTGAATGTGTGAGTGATTATGTAGAGAGTCTTGCACACTGTTATTATCTTGCAGAGTCAGAAAGAGATGACCAGAGTGGCAGAAGAAAGCAGTCGCAGTCATATGCTTCTGATACATCTCAAACATCAATATCTTCAAGAAAAGAATCTAAGTCTGATAAGGTATGTCAGATTTGTTAAAAATTATATTACCATGAATATTGCGTCTGTAGTTCCCTTACCTGGCATGAACCCAAACAAAAACTTTTATGTCCATTCCTTCCCTTATTAATATGTATTTTCATAACCTTTTCCCATGTTAGTATCCACAATCATGCTATTCAGCCAGTCAACTGAAATATTAGTATACCATATTACATTCCCTCATAATTGCCTTAATCACTTTGGTCACCATTAACCCGCTAACATTGTCGTATGCAACATTTTCCCCAATATTCTAGAGCTTACAGCAAATTTACAGTCTTCATATTGTCAATTACTTTTTCACCCATTCTTTTTCAATCCTTGTAGTATTGGTTACATATGAGATCTGGACCCAGGCCTATATGGGTTAGCCTAGGCTTAGGCTATTGTAAGTAGGCTTAGGCATCTGAAAGTACTGCATATGAATACTGAAATGCATTTTTCCCAAAGGATTTTGTATAAAGGATCCTTGACTTGTACAATACAGTACTGAGCAACGGACATGGAGTAGACAGAGGCTGGAAATGACAACTGGATCAATACTAAGATTCAACTTTCATCTAAATTTTGTTGAGGATGATCGAGGAGACTTGTATGAATCCCCCCAAAAATGAGAATGGATACTAGAGTTTAGCTGAGATGAAGAAGCAAAGGAATGAATTAAGAAGAGAAAACTTTATTTTCATAAGCATATGTGGCTAGTTTAGAGGTGTATTGATTTAAAGAGAAAATATAAGGGAGTAAAACCTAGAAAGTTGACATGGGAAGGAGCTTAACCTTAAACTTTAGAACCAGGCTATGCAGATTAGGAGTGCCCTTCAGCCTGGACGTGGGGCTAGAAAAGTGATTTTTCATTTCCATGTGCCTGGCACTTGCCTGGCAGACATGTTAATATTTTGAGAAGAAAATACCAAGCAGACAAGACCTTACCTCCCCTGACAAGTTTAACCACTGAGGTCCATTAAACCAACAAGTTGTGTCATATCACAGAGCTGAGCTGATCCCAGACAATTACCTGATCTGTTAAGAAATCCCAGGTGTGTGATACAGCCTCAGTGACATCACAGCTGATTCCTCCCATTTCTTTTGGTCTATTTTCACAATGACCTGACTTGACCACCTATAATAATGCTCCCACTGATGCTGTGTAAACAGTGATGTGCTACAAATTGAGGTGAAAGTATTAACATGAATAAGAAGCAAAGAAAAATGTTGACCAGGTGAGGGTAAATTGCATTTAGACGGACACAAGTAATCTGTGAGTTCATACACACAATAAATTTAATTGTTTGAAATGTTTATTTAACTTTCCCCTAAAATAAAATTAGACAAACAAATTTCCCCCAAAACTGTCAGGGGAAGTAAAAAAATATTCAGGGCAATTATATTTCAAAAGTCGCTCGCCTGGTATAAGTAAATGTTTCACATAATCTGTGCAGTCTGTTTAAAATTATATACTGTTAAAAGATGGAAATGATCTCCCCCAAAATTTTGTTTACCAATTTTTTATTTATTTGTTTCAGCTTGCACTGAGAAGTTGACATACCGTACTCAGTATTATCCTGTCAGTGGGGCGTTTCTTTTGCTGTTCAGCTTTTTTTTTAATAGTGTGTGTAAAAACTCTTTTCTAAGTAGACTGCCTCAACTCTTTTCAGAATACAGCAGAAGAAGAAGTTCAGTGTGTATCCTTGGTAGAAGAAGTGAAGAGATTATCAGCATCTCAAGAATCTCGGCGGGGCCAAGTGCGGAGAGTAAGTGTAGAGTTAAGAGCAGCTCAGCAGAGACTCAAACAACTAAATGCTACCATCAGATTGAAGGTAAGTTGTTATTAAAGTCTTGTTGATACGTTGGTTCATGACTGTCTTCTGTTATTGCTCACACTTAAACTAATTATAAAAAAACATATTCCAGTGGCAGGAAAGTTTGACACAATTTATCAAGTTCATCACATCCTTTCTGATCATGGGAACACCAACTACTGTACAATCGGCCTAAGGAGTGATGTCACTATTTTCAGAATGATTCTTTCAAACAGCAGTATATGGTAACTGTGGGAGCAAAGAAAATGACTGACCACTGATCAGTGGGTTGTACACCATTGGAGGAAGATGGTATATTATCACATTCCTGAGCCAAATTTCTTGCTGCCTAACCTTTTTCTGGCATTCCCTCATATTTTTGCAGCTAAAAGTGTTCAAGATGGGTAGTAAAAGTAAGAGAGGTACAGTGTATCCCAATCCCATGCTTGAAAGATGCAGGAAAAAAAGGATAGCCAGTTTGAGATGAGAGAGCAACACAAGCAGATAACACTTACTTCTTGGTGTACAATACAGTATTCTGCACATGGCTTATTTCTTTGTTTAGACTTTGTTTTATTTTTAGAACAATATGAATAAGCTTTCATAGAAGTTAGCAATTTAGTTAGATTCTACCTTTTTTGCTCCAAAGTAATGAATGGGCATTAAATGGAAATCTTTATTGTTTTCTATTTTTCCTTGGTGCTAAAAAATGCTATACCTTCAGAGGATAAGTGGTAATTAATTTCTTATAAATGCTAGAGAAAAATGCAACAATAAACATTTAACATATTCAGTAAAGACATCACATAAATGTGGTGAGTATGAATATTATTTTGATTCATATTTTTTATTCAATAATCATATCAGCTTAACACAATTTATGTATACCTACTGGGTAATCATTTTGACATCAAATTTTAAATCCGTAAATTAGTTGTGAATGTCCCCAAGCGATAATCTGGTACTGTATGTCATATTATTTCGTTTGAAAATGTAAAAAAATTTTAATTACAGGTCTATAAATTTTTCTTAAAATATTCTTTGGAAAAACTGTTTTAGCATTCATTAGTTGATTTATTTTATATTCTATAAAATTTCATTCCACCTCAAAGAAACAAAAGCCAAAACAAAGTGAGTCTGGTTGTTGCCATATACCACTTTCTGATTGAAAGTTTCTGGAAATAGTGACACCATTTATTGTACACACATTTACAAAAAAAAAAAACTTCCCCTTTTCTCATTGATACAATATGACACAATGGACAAACAATTCTGATCACTACAGTATTTGTGAATCCTTGACAACTGAACTGAAACTGCTGTACATTGTGTCCATTTTCAAACATATTGGACCCAGGTGGGCAGATAGTTTTTTTGTGTGTACACAGCCAGTTTATTCTAATACAGTAATGTACAGTAGCTAAAACAACTAGTGACAGCTCTCATACACCAAAATTTATCGTCCATGGTCTCATATTGTTTCCCACAAAGTATGCACAGATAGTTGTTTTAGCTACTGTACATAATTTATGTATAGAATGTATTACCAAAACCAAGCATGATATTTTGTAAAATAGCTTAAAAAAATATTTATGGTGTTTTGTTAATACAGTACAGCATATGATTTAAAGAATGGAATGCTATGCCTGACACAGGGAAGAGTAATATACTGAGAGTGTGTGTGTAGAGCTTCAGTATACAATATAATAAATTCCAAGTCTTGATTGATGGTCATTTCAGCTGTTCACCCATTGATCACTCAAGACAAAGTTTCAAAGTATTTCAATAATGAACAAAGAAAATAAGTTTGGGTTTTTCATACAAGTAAACTTTGGTTTCATTAATACTAAAGAAAGTTTTACTGAAATTTTTCAATATTGAACTTGCAGGAAGCTTTCATCCGTGAACTAGTACGTAGTGGAGGCGAGGCTGAAGTAACAAAGCGAAAGTGTGAAGCTAAGATGGGACGACTTGAAAAGGAGGTTAACCGTGCCCGCCAACTCTACCAGGAGGCACAGAATCAACTCACAGTATGTTTTGCTGCTTCTGTACACAATTTTTATTTTGTTCATATTCATGTTTTCATGTTTCATGTCTTCCCTTTCAGATGCAGTAAAGTAAGAATTTTCTCTCTTCAGTTAAAATGTCAACATTTCTAATGTCTGAGGTGGTGGGAGGAGGGAGTTAATATGTCATCCCTCTAGTTTTTTCAGCATCATTAATAATTGTTAGAACCCATTTAAATGAAATTTGATAACTTCCTTCAAATGTTCCAGTCAGCTGTTTTATATATACTTCATTACAGGTTTGGGTATCCCTTATCCAAAATTCCCAAGTCCAAAATGCTCTGAAATTCAAAAGTCTATTTTATTATATTTATGGTAGATAATACATTGAATATGGCATATATCATAATGTTTACTAGGGTAAGTATGTACTGTATATGTAATGAATAAAGGTAAGACACAAGCTGCTTAGTGCCTCGGAGTCAGGTGTACATCTTATGATATATATTTTAACCAAAATGATTAAATTATATTTTATAAAACTTCCTGCAGAATACAGTACAGGGGCCCCTCAAGTTCGCAGATTTTTACTTCGCGGTTCTCGGTTATTCGCAGATGAAACCCTGGCATTTTTGCGGCTGTGAGTGGGAGTCATTCGTTCTAGAGACAGTAATTACCTTTACCTGTATTGTAAATGTGTGTGTGTGTGTCCTACAAACACACACACACACACACACACACACACAAAACACAATGTATAAGTAAATAATGATGGGAAAATACTCTCACAAATAATCAGAAACAAATTTATTAAAAATGTGACAGTTTACCCTCAAGTCCGTGCTCTATTACAGTACTGTACTTTATAAATAGAGCACGGACTTGAGGGTAGACTGTCACATTTTTAATAAATTTGTTTCTGATTATTTGTGAGAGTATTTTCCAATTATTATTTATTTGTATGTGTTTTGTGTGTGTGTGTGTGTGTGTGTGTGTGTGTGTGTGTCTGTGTGTCTGTGTACAAACACACACACGTAAGGGCAAACACGTAAAGGGAATATACATGTCTTTGTACACAAGTAAAAATGTCCCCCCCGTCCGCAAATGTTATTCGTGGATTTGGCGATTCGCGGCCATTTTGAGAACTTAATCCCCGCGGATTTGCCCCCCCCGTACAGTATATGTATCCATATACTGTAAATAAAATATAAATGAATTTTGTGCATAGACTTGGGCTCCATCCGTGCTGGGTGGGCTACCGCATTATACAGGTTCTGTATACAGGATATAGTGTAGGTACAGTATTCCCAAATTCGAAAATATCCCAAATCTGAGACCCTTAAAGCCCCAAGCATTTTGGATAAATAATACCCAACCTGTATTCAATAAATATCAGTTCATGACCCAAATAAGGTCATCATCATTTTTATAAGGAACATAGAAAAACACAGATATAGATACTTTTTGTGATGAGGTGTACAGTACTGAACTGTTGTTTGACCAGCTTTTCCTTCTTTATAAAACTTCAACTAACTGAAGACTAAAGTGAGGCTGACAGCCATGGATGCCACACCTATATCCAGCTCACTTTGTTTCCTGCCACCACATATACGAAAGACCAGCCTTTCCACACCTGGATATTGACAGGGTTCTTTGCAAGTGCTCTTGATTAGTGCTCAGGTCAAGGGCACAACTGTTTCTGTGATCCACCAAAGGAAATGCACCATGTTCTCCAGAATCCAACTGGTGTTGTCCAGTGGGACATTGGACACTGCAGGCAGATAACCAGAGGCCAGCTTGGTGGTTATACCAGAGCAGGATGTCCTATATTCAAGTAAAGAGCATAAAATATGTATGCGAGGATTTCATTCAAGATCTTTGGTATTGTGGCAGAACTTCACTTCCCAAACTTCATTGAAAATTATATAACATCCCCTTTGGGTACATAAGGAGATCCATTCATCAATGATCTTGAAGTCTTCCTTCTCAAGGGTTAAGTGCTATAATGGATGTCATGTCAGATGGAGAAAGGTGTCAGTCAGTGCAGGAAATTTCTTCCAAGGATTTCACCAGATCATCTTCCCTTGTACTTTGGTGAACGAGGTCATGTCACACCCACTCAAGTGTAAAAGAGAAGCAGGCAGAGGTAACCGAGGGATGATGTCAGGGTATTAAGGGTGCACTCTGATGCCCTTGAACCAAAGGTGATTCAGATTTTAGTGCCACTTAAAAGATGATTTTGACCCAGGAGATTGATAATGACCTCAGTGTGCTCCATTTTCACCAGGAGTGATTTCTCTCATGCTTTGATGGCATGAAGGAGGTGCAGCATGATCTGGTTGTCCACTTCCAAGTGATTACATTTGGACTGGAAGATCAGATAATTCTGTCTTGTTGACCTCTTCTCTTCGAAACACTCCCCGTTTGTCCACACAAGGCAGTGTAGCCATGTTGTTAAAATTCTGCTGGGTTATAGGTCCATTTGCTTCCATCGCTAGGGTGCTGGCAGGCCTTGGTGTCTGGTGGGACATACCTGTACCAGATGATGGCCAGCTTGTAACAGATGTTCAAAGAATGCTGTACTGATGGATGGGACACACAAAATTGGAGCAGAAGGCCAAATTCAGAAGAATATTATGGATTAGCCAACCTCCACCAACCACCACACAACTGAAGAGATCAGCTGCAATGGGCAGCTCGACTGACTTGACCCACACCCACTGGTTGTTCCTAAAGACAGTATGACATATTGGACTTAATGGGATGGAACTTTTCCTATTGATGGAGAGACAAGGAGGAAACTGGTGAATTCTGAAGATATTCACTGTGTGGGACTTTAGTATCTTCGAAATCTTGCAGAAGGCACTCATTAAACTACCATTCATGCAAAACTGTTGAAGGTGCGAGCTGAGGAATGTGACCTCAGGCTTGTTTGACTGACGGGTGAGTTTAAAGATGTATTTGGTGGGGTGGGTGGGAGGTCAGTAGGCCATGGGCATCCTTGAGGGGAATGTCTTTCTTCCTTTGGGCCAGTTAATCACTTCAGTAGCAGATATGACATTAAAGTAACAACAAAATGAATTTCACACACATCAGTGTAGAGAAAGCAGTTTAGTGAGACTGAGTAGCTGGTGACTTATTGATGCTAAATTCTCCAAATTTATGTGCACATAATTAATATTTGTATGTCATTAAGATAATTTATATCTTTCTTATTAATGAAAGGTGTCACCCTTTGCCTGAACTCTTAAATTGTTCACCTCAAACACACTTTTGTGTCAAAGAGCTGGATGGGAGGGAGGGATGATAGATGGTGTGGACGATACCATTTTGTGAAACATAAAGATAAATTCTTCATGCAGCCTTGCTTGGTGTCTTTATTACATGATAATTGACAAATCAAAATATCCAATGCAATATTATTCACATGATGTTACCATTTTTATTTTTTTGTATTTGTAAACAGTGTAAATTAATTTAAGATAATAATCAAAATACAGCAACTGTTCATTCATAAAACAAAAGTATATTTGCAACTCCTGTGGGTTATATTACTATTGGAGAGTTGTCAGTTCTCACCGTGGGCCATCACAACATGTATGGGGCTCTCCTACAATACAGCAGTGCATTGTTCAGGTACTGGTGGCCTTGAATGCATAATTGAGTGCCCCATATCCAAGAGGCTAAGGAGACAACAGGAAAGGGGATATAAGGGTAATAGAGGTCAACTGGAGGTTCTTGCCCCTTGACCACCACCTCAGATGTGAGCTCCTTGGGGAATTAATTATCACAGAAGATAAACCTTCCTTTAATATTCACATGTTTCAGGAACTTCGTGAAGGAGAATCCGTGGACAAGAATCAGTTTCGCAGCCGAGTTGACTCACTCAAGAAACAGATATCGCATTACCAGAAGAAGTTGGCAACGTTAGAAAAAGTAGCTGATATCTCTCAACAAGGAGACACTAAGTAAGATTCACCATCATATTTAGTAATGACAATTAAATACTTTAAGGATGTTGACCAAATTTATATGGAGAAGTTGATGACCTTCCCATGAGAACAACTTAAGCATTAATCTTAAATTACAAATGATTTCCTTTCATCAAATATTGTCATTATGTGGAGAATGGTCATTTGTGTACTACATGTTCCTCCAGTTCTGTTGATGACAGCCAGTAAACTCATTCTTACTCTCATCTGCTGTTAAGTGAATGTCTCTACTGCATAGTTTTACTTAACCTTGTAGTATTATGCAGTTAGCCAGGATTTATACTTGTACAGTAGAACTTTGATATAATGCGAGATACGTTCCAAGAGAGGTCGCTTTAAACCAAATTCGCACTAAATCGAAGTGTTGTTTCAATGGAGTAATTTAGTTTGGTACTTGAGAGAAACACAAAATACTAAAAAAGACTTTTATTAACTAGTAAATATGAGAAAAATATATGGTGTAATGATATACATATATATATATATGCAGCAAGCACTCCCTGCAGTCGAGTTGAGAGCTGGACGGTACTGATACTGCGTAGTACCGTCTGCTGCCTCGGGTCACTGGCCCTCCCCGACTGAGAGTATACACCCAGATGCACCTCAGCCCATCTCCTAGAATAAACAAAACATTGTTTTTGTACAGGCTGTTGTATTATGCTAAAACAAACACTTATAAATCAACACAGCTAAAATTACGGGATGCGAAATGGTCTGTTTACTAGCGATCAGCTGATGGGGGAGGGTGGTGGCACTGGTGCCGCTCTCCACCCGCATGACTCACACAGCATTTAAACTTTCCTTTTAATTTATTTTTTAATTACTTTGTTATCAAAAATAGATTTTCACTCAACTTTAGTAAGGCAAGTCATCCTCTGAAGATGCAGAGCCCAACTCGACCAGCTCATCATCCACATCACTGTCTAGTGGTGTGGCTGTTGACACATCTGACACGCAGGAAGCACTGGATGACGGCCGTGTCTGCCCAGACGTAGATGGGCCAGCTACCTCAGGAGCTGAAGGAATGGAAAACATTCATTAAATTATTGACTTTCTACCACATAATTATTACATATCATATGCCCCAAATTTAATGTCTATTTTGCCAAGCAATAAAGTTTCATAACAAACTCACCTGATGAGGATAATGGACGGAAGAATGAGGTGATTTTCTTCTGTTGCTGGGCCATAATCAGTTGATCTAGCAGCTGAGAGTACGTAGATGCAGCCCGATTCAACGCCTCCACCACTTGCATATTGTGCTCCATATCAGGGTCATGTTGCAGTGCAGACTGGGTGGCAGAAGTGACGTGCTGCATAAACTCCCTCAGCTTAGGAATTGTCAGTTCCTTCCCCACTGTGTGGGGCTTATGTCGCTTCCTCTTCTTCCTCGTGTTTTTCGCCATCTCCACCATCTCCAAGACTTCTTCAGAGGTGAGAGGATCCTCCATGCTAACAAGCAGTTCAGTCATATCCTCTTCTTGAATTCCTAGAAATCCTAAATCACCTCTCACTTCCTTAACGAGCTTCATAATGTCTTTCACGTCCTTGCCTTCACCAAAGCCCTTGGAATCATGGACTACCTCAGGCCACAGATTACGCCACACTCAATTTAGTGCAGTTTCTGGCACACTTTTCCACGCAAGTGTGATGTTAGCTATGGCATTTTTGATGGTGTAGCTCTTCCAAAACGTTGCTGCAGTCATATTGTTGTCCGTGTTCATAGCCTCAGCCATTTGCCTCATGTATTCTTGAGATAATATCTCTTGAACAAGGCAATAACACCTTGATCTAGTGGCTGAATAAGTGAAGTCACATTTGGAGGGAAGAAGGTCAAGTTTACGTCATTATTCACACTGCACAGGTGTTTGAAGTGGTAAGATGCGTTGTCCATGAGAACCAAGGCCTTGTTGCTAAGGTTAAATTTTTTTTAAACACTTTTGTTGAATAGGGTGGCATAGCTGATGTACCATCCATCAAAAATACCAGAAGTCGTCCACGCCTTCTTGTTTGATCGCCAAATTGCAGGAAATTTCGGGATGTGCACATTTTTCAAGGCAGTAGGTCTAGCTGAGTGGTGGATGACGTGTGGCTTCATTCGTGTGGTGCCTGATGCGTTCGCCATGAGGAGAATCGTCAGTCTGTCCTTGCTGACCTTAAACCCTGGTGCTTTTTATTCACTCTTCATTAGATAGGTTTTCTTGGGCATTCTTTTCCAATACAGTCCAGTTTCATCACAATTCCACACTTGGCAAGGAGAATCACCATTTTCTAACACTATCCTTCATAACTTTCTTCATATCCTCGGCCGCCTCCGCATCGGTAGATGCAGCTTCACCTGAAAGCGTCACATTCCGTAGCCCCGTCCTTTTGATAAATTTGTACAGCCAGCCTGTACTCTCTGTGAACTTACTGTCTTTGATGGACTTCCCTTCCTTTTCAAGTATCCAAGACTGTATATCGTAGGCTTGGTTTTGCAGCATGGGGCCAGTGAGAGGAAGTTTTCGGTGCTGCATGTCTTCTACTCATAACTTCAGTGCTTCTTCCATCTCAACATATATAGCACTCTTCAGGTGGAGTTTACCCTTGGCAACATCTGGTGAAGCATTGGCTGCTCTAATTTTCTTCTCGTTGAGCTTTATAGTGCGGACAGAGCTCTCCGACAGTCCAAATTGACGTCCCACACCTGAAGAACTATTTCCACGCTACAGTGCTTCCAGCTCTTTGATTTTATGCTCCAGTGTAATTATTTGCCTTGATTTCTTGGTCTTTGGGGTAGTTAATGATGTAGTAGCTGGCCTCTTGGACATAGTGGTGATGGTTGATGCACGTGGTAGAAGGAGATAGTGTCACACAATATGTCTGTTCACTAGAGCGTCAGTGTGAGAACTGAGGATGTGTGAGGATGTGGGAGGGTGGCGGGCAGCCGTGTAGCGTCTGGTGGGAAACATTATGCGCTAAATTTAAAATATGATGCGCCAGATTGACTGACGCAAAATAGGAAAGATTCTCTTTAAATTAAAACATTGTCCCAAATTGTGGGTGTCGCTTTAAATCAATAATCTTAAATTGAATTGCTTTAAATTGACGTTCTACTGTACAGTATACTGTACTGCTATTATACTGTACTAGTTTTACTAATAGCCATTTAATAATGATCATAGGTATTTTATTTATTTATTTTTCCCCTATCACTTTATAAACACAGGTACAGTACAGTACAGTACAGTTTGCTGTGCTCCAATGTTTGAGAAAGGCTTTGTGTGTTTCCCTCCACAGGGTTGCAGAACTTGAGGGTAGTGTGAGGGAGATGAGGAGGCAGCAAGAGGAACTTCAAACCCGCCTGAGGGAAGAGACACAACGTAAGGAAGAACTTGAACAGCAGATAATAATAGACCAACGACGCATGAGGGATCTAGAGATACGTTTGAAGGTAAAAAGAAGATATTTGTTATTATTATTATTATTATTATTATTATTATTATTATTATTATTATTATTATTATTATTATTATTTTAGCTATGATATGAATATTGCATAGATTGGCAGATTGTAGTCACACCATTATGAGTCAAGTCAATGATAAAGGTTTCTATTAGGGGCTGGGTGATAAACGTGAGAATAGCAACAATGAATCATCATGTATGAAATGGCTATTATCGTCATTAGTTTTATGATTCATGATAATGGACGAGTTGCCTGTCGGAATTTTTTCATAAGATGGCAGGACAATGGGTAAAAAAATGCTTCAATTCACCATGGTAATGATATTTTAAAATAAATTAGGCCAAAAAGTGTAAAAAATAAGGGTTAAAGTTTCTAAAAAGTCAGGTGACTGCAAAAAGCTCTGTGATTGGTTGTGACGTCACTGGCTGGGGCAAGCCGCTCAGCGGAGGCAGCCAGCTGTGGTGTACGTGTTGTTACCAGCAGAAATACAGGACTTGTGGCCATATACAATGTTGATATACACTGTGGTTGTCTACTATGTTGGCCTCAGTTCTCATACAGTTGGTGTCAGGAAGGATGGAATGGAGACTACACCGGCAAAAACTCTCCAGTGATTTTAGGTCTTGCTGCCATACATCAGCTCAGTAGACGTGTAGCTTTGTTGCTGAAGATGTTAACCGTACTGTAGAAACTAAGTAAAGCAAATGATGTGATAGCTGCAAGGTTAGGCAGGGCAGTGTATGTGATATCAAGAGGCACGTAGCCAAAATTAGGAGTGCTGTCAACCAGTTTACCACATTTTCGGCCAAGATTGTCTCTGGGGCTTTCCTGAGAGACATATTCTTGAATTCTATTCTTCAAAGGGGTGGCTGGTCTTTGGCAGGAATCTCAGGGAGGCATGAGGAGATAATGTAAGAATGTTAGACTGTTGAGGAGATTGTAAAGATTCATTATTAATTCCTTGTTGTAGTTTACAGTTACTGTACTTCTCTTATGAGGTGCAGGTCTTCAGTAGAATTGGAGTTCTATTTTTTGCTTGAGCTGTTGTGGCACCTAGATCTGCCTAGCTCTCAACCTTAAGTTGTAAACCTTCGTCTTTCAGGCCCTCTCCAAGATCTTGGTTTTTAATGGGAGAGGCATCATAATGGTCACCTGTTCTAGTCGAGGGTTTGCCTGGTGGTCGGTAAAAGCATGAATATATGAGACACATGTTCTTGTTTCTCTTAGGCTTTAAAATGGGACTTCTTCCAGAATTATTATTTTATTTATTCTTTATTTTAGCAAGGAGAAGGTGAGTCAGAAAGTGACCGTGGTTGGTTGGCAGAGGAGGAAGACAGAATCCTGCGTTTAAGGGAAGCAACACAACAATTACAGAATGAAGTGGAGCAAAGGGAAGAAGCACTCAAACAAAGGGAACGCATGCATAAAGAAAAGTTGCGTCTTCAGATTTCAAGGCCTAGTGCTCAAGTGAGTAAACACTGCAGGCTGCATTTTAGTGTAGGATATTATATTATAGCCGGAGACTTACATGACTTCTGCAATATCGTGAAGGTGTAAACATACCTCTTGAGTGGATGGGGGTTTAAGGGTCAGATTCCCCCTTATGCTGGAAGCAATATTGAAGTGCACTTCACAACATGTCTGATTTTCAACCCAGAGAGTTCTGTTTCATTTTTTTTATTGTTGATGTAATATTCTTTTAATAACCTTGTTATACACTTAAAGACCTTAATTGTTGAAGTACAGTAATAACATAACAACACCTGATTTTCTTTAAACAGTTCGGATCGGCAGTGTTATCCCCCCCCTCCCCCCATATTCGTTTTTTTTTTTTTACTTTTGTATTTTTCAGACGGGTCTGCCCCAATTAGTCTGATTTATCGAGGATCTTCTACTGTTGAAACTCACATTAGTTTGAGTGATGTGCGCTCTCAGAATAACAGGAAAAATTAGCTGCTTTTCTGTCAGCCAAAGTCGCCAAAATTATAAACACAACTTGGATGTGGTATTACATTTTCCTATAACATGTACCACAGAAAACGCAATTATGAGCAAAAAAAATGTAAGCACGATTGCAGTAAAAAATGTGTCGTGTATCATTTAAGTCAATTAATTGAAAATAGGATATAATTTGAAAATACTGATAATTACTGATGTGCATATAAGAAAATAAAGTTCTTCTCTTGGGAGAGAGAGAGATGCTGGGGTCCTCACTAAAGCTAACTGCGGCCCGGATTCGGACCGCGGTCTGTCAATTGAGTACCCTTAGTATAAAGTATCAGAGCACCTCAAGTGTATAGTATTAATAGTTACCATAGGGGGTAAAAGAATTTTGTGATGACTCATTTAAGTGGTGACTTGGTCATGGTGTACAGTATATAGACAGACACACAGTACTGTATATAGTAATGCTTGTGATGTTATCTTGGTCATTTTCTTTTTTGTAACTGTTAACCAGAGCTCTAAACACTTCTGTATAGAGTGTCAAATCATTACACATTTATCAAAGGCAAACAACACTTAGGTTAATAAATAGGAGTTAGTGGTGGCAGGCTGTAAGCTAACAGAAGCACCTGATGAGCAAATATTTATTTTTAATTTTCTTATTAAATAACAAAGTACAGTAAGTTCAACAAAGCCTTATTTATGCATAGAAATAAGATGTGTTGAAATTAATATAATGTAACACTCACCTGATATGGTGGAGGAAAGTGTATGGAAGTAACTCAATGTAATGACAGCAGTGTGCAAATTTGAAAATTTCAGAACAATGTTAATTTGAAATGACACAATTGTACAGTAGTAAGTTATGAAATATATTAATATTTATATCTTTTCTAATAAAATGTGCTCAGAGGAAATAATTAAGGTAAGGTTAGTTCTATATACAGTATGTACAGTACCGTACAATATACATTAATGCTCGTGTACCACAGCATCATCCCCTCCCACACACAGAGCTGTTTGTGACCTTCTGGCACTGTACTCTATCTTTATTTTCTTTGGATAGAGTGTTCACATTTTTTTTTCATATGAAACCAACTACATACTGCACTTTACTGTACTGTACATTCTACATGAAATTGGTTGCTCTTGCATAAAAAAAGGGATATTGTTCACTCCTGTGAACACAGAGATAAATAATTATTTAACATCTCTGCTTTGTCCTCATCTGAGTCTGTGTAATTACCATCTTCAAGACTCGTGTGGTTTTCCCACATGTATATTTGATTTTGATTTTGTGGAGATAGAAAGCCTAAGGGTTTGACTTGGGCTCATTTGCAATCTGCCTCTGGAACTCTTTTTCAGGCCTTCTATACTCTGACTTGACTTGGTTCCTGGCATACAGCCTTCTGTCCTGCTCATCATTTGTTACGACCCATCTCTTTAACCCTCTCGTGCACTAGATAAGTTTTAAGTTTTCCAGTTCCAAGATCACATCTCTGAGGCCCCCAGGGCAGGCGAAATATGGTGAATAAATTGTTTTGCTTTACCAATTTTCCTCCCATTTTAACTTGTTTTTATTGGCATAAACCCTATATATTTGGCTTTGTAACTGATTGCTCTGCAACAAAGCCCAAAAAAAAGAATAATACAAGTATATAGCTATTTTTTGTCACTTTTAATAAACACAAGAAAAAAATACACACTAATACATTCACAACCTCCTAGCTCAAAATTGTCTGAGTCAACTTTTTAAATACTTTACACTGTTAGAAGCAGATTTTTATGAGCTTTCCAATGCAGTAATCAGATTTCTGATATGACCAATAGTTTTTTAGAAAATAGCAAAAAACTGATTCTCAAATGATAAAAACTTTTTTTTTTATTTTTTATTATTTTTGTACCTATGTTTTATATCTATATAAATTATATTGCATCTTGTAGCCAACACTATAATGAAAAGAATGATGCTAATAAAATTCATGAAAGTCTAGAAAATCATCCTCTTTCAGAGACTTTTTTCAAGACATGGTTACTATAAAGAGGTTGTATAGCCTAGTATGGTAACAGCTTTTAAAAACTGAACACTTTCCCTGTAAATATGAAAAAAAATATTACATCACACAACCATCACTTCACTTCTCTAACACTAAAAATAAATTATTTCGGGAAATAGGGTAAGCACTGTAATCCAGAAGTTGAGGCAGCCAGAACGGAATTATAGAAATTTAAATGGACGCAGCTCACACTCATGGTCTGACTGCTGAGATAATACTGCTCATTTAACTTCTGGTCTTCCCTTCCTTGAGAGTTACCAATTAGTTTATTGATAGAACTTACTTGCTACTATGACACATCAAAATTTGACACAACTCTGTTGAAAACTTAATTTTTGGCATATTTTTTAAAGTTTGGCGACTCGATTTGCGTCACTGAAGTTGGTTTTATCATGAATATGACACGAATCACATCATCATGCATGGAAGTGTTAAATTCAAGATTTTTTTCTTAACTTTGTTACCCGTCACATGGTTCATGTGTAATCATTTCCTTGTAGTCGTGGAGCCAGTGGGTTTAGTCTTGGGTACAGTACAGTATATATTTATCAATAAAATATTGTAGTTCACTTTACTGGCTATGATAATCATGGTAGTACTGTATCTGCAATCTTGTTTCTCAGTGACTTGGGCCAGTCAATACTCCTCATCATCTCCCTCATCCTGTCATAATTGCCACTGTAATATTTAAACCTTGGTCAGCTCTTATCATGAACCAAGTATCAGTTAAATCTGAAGGACATCTCATGATTATTGGTGCCAGCAGGGCTAACCTCATTGTTAGTTATCATGAATTCCAGTGGCTTTAGCGTTTGTTCCCCTCCCTGGTGAATTGGGTCTTTAGCATGTTGGAATAGGAAATCGTCTCTCTGAGTTTGTATAAAAAGAGTTTTAGGATTGTTGAAATAATTTGGTTAAATTTCATTCCTTCAATCAATGTCGCCATAGTTAAAGTCATCCATGGCTAGAGTTGAGGGCCGTTGCATTGTCAATTAAGGCTCATAAATTCCCTTGGTTTAATAAAATGTAATTTGGGGATCTATGAATATATCCAACAATGAGTAAGTCTCCCCCCCCTTCAGTTTAATTTTACACCATTTCAATTCTTTAAAAAATCTTCCCCATGCACCCACACCTGGCTGGCTCTTAGGTCCTATCTAGCATAAATAACCACACCCCTCTTGCAAGTTGCCAACAAGAGGTTCATAAACGAGTCAATCCTCCTGTTCTTATACAACGGTTCCACAACACACAACACCTATTACTATAGGTCAGGTTGATGGGTCTTGAGTAGAGTTTCAAACTCTGCTCTCTTGTTGAGGAAAGTGTTAGTGTACACGAGATGTTCAAGTTTGTATCATGTTTCCGACGCAGGGATGCGTGCCGGGTGTATGGGTGGATAGGTTCAAAGCGTTCATGAGCTATGATTGGCCATTACTGTTATGTGACTGCATGCCTATTTTTGGCTTATGTATCTTGCAGACTATCTCCTCAAACTCTAGCATCATGACACTTTTAGTTCATTGTCTGCTGCCATTATACGAGCTTGTTCATTCGCTCACTGCTGTTTTCACATACGATCTGTGTTGTCCAGTACTGTACATTACTGTACCAGCATATAATCAGCCAAGAAGACCATCAAAACAGTGTTAAGACATAAAAAGAGATTACAGTTATGTATACTGTACTGTACATTCAATTCAGTAAGTGCAAAAGTACCATATGTACAGTACTATACTGTATACTGTACATAGCAAAGTGGATAGTGTAGGCTAGTGTGTAGAGGATATATACTGTACAGTACAGTATAGTGTGATTACAATAATCCTCCTTCATGGTGGGAGAGGACAGGGCTTATTCTCCTACCTTTTCCTTAGCCTACTCATTTTGTTAGGGGCAGCAGACAAATTTAGAGCCTCTGTACAAATACTAAGAAATTTCATCTTGTCATGTGTTTCCCACTTTCAGCTTCATCTGACTGACTCTCAGGGTCTCCATACTCACTCTACATCTTTCCTATACTGTATTAGTACTGGCTGTAATCATTTCAACATTCTTAGAGCTCCTTGCTACTACAAGACCTGTTCAGATCCCACACTCCTCTCAGTCACATTCTGTGTCCCTGCCACAACCTGAGCATAGCTTCTCTTAACTATCACCTCCATACTATCACCTACTTCTTTAGTCTTAAAGAGGATCTCTTTTTCAACTTGCTCTAGTTTGCTAACCAATAAGGTTCCAGTTTCCTCTATTTTCACTGTAAGTATCTCTCCCTTACTGTCTGCAATAGCCTTGTTAGCTTTCATCTTGCAGTCAGGGCAATATCAATGACAAGTTCTAGACTTTGTCAAATTCTGTGGTGTCTTAAATTTGCTTCTGACCTCAACTGCACAATCTTTGCAAAGTTCCTCTTCACATTAGTCAGCAAACTCCCTGGTGCTGCTGGGGTTACATCCTCTGATGCATGTCTCATCTCAAACTTTTTTCCCTCATGTGTAATTTTACCTGTGAGACTCGTAGCCCTGACAACTGTCAGCAGGAGGCACCAGTGATGAGCTTGAGGCAGGATGTATGTGGGGATTATTGTCAGCTGTAGAAATTTGAATAAAATGACCTCCAACACACCACCATAATCGCCCCAACATACCATATCAATGCTCACCCTAACACACATGGGAAATAAATATGAATAGTAATAAGACCAGTGGGATATGGGTGTTCCAGCAGTACTGTACATTACACCAGGTTGTACCAGGTATAAGTCCTATAGTGCACTTCTTGGTGTTCTAGGACATATAAGGTAAGTCCTCTGATAGTAAGAGATAATTAACTTTTTGTTTTTAATTTTTTTCTTCAGAAAGTATGAGGTTGTGGGGGGGAGAAAATTATGCAGAGCCTAGGACTGACAAGGTCAAGAAGTGGCTATGTCAACATTATCTCACTGTTATTAAAACAAAAGAATCATTTCCTTGTTATATTTACAGTCTGGTGTTAGTGATGAGGAAGCCACTAGTAGTGTGTTGGAGCGTCGAGAGTCTGACCTTCGTGAGGAGATCTCACACCTGCGGGACGCTCGAGATTCTCTCATGATGCGCAGACAGAAACTGGACCGCAGGATCCACCGGGTAAGCTTTTCCGTTGTGTTCATAACCTGTTCTGTGTTATCCTCAATTCATAACACACAAGTTTTATCTATATGATGTCATTTTTGGTAATTAATCTCTTGTGGATCCAAATTTCTACAGATGTGCATGTACCCCACAGTTCAGTAATGTACCCAAAGTGAGGTGCATAACTGCATTAAACACACACGACCACGGGGGGGGGTGACAAATAGATCCAAAGATCCAGTTTGATGGTGTAAATGAAATGACAAAGTGTTGCTGAGTGACTATAGCAAAAGAACAAATTAATAATGGGGAGAACATCAACTCCTCTACTTCTCCCATAGTTCTAATGTTCTCACTAACACTTTTGAATTTGAGCAGATGATCACGTTAATAGTCAATGTAAACGATAAGCTGGGCATCATTCTGTGTCTTACTGCCATGCTTGTCATCGGAATATGTCAGATCAATCCATTTGATCTCATTTTATTATCCAAATTATATTTTATAGTGTAGGCCTACGTATAGTGTAGACATTCAAGAATGAAGGGAGGCCAAGGAACTTAGGTGTGACAGATTTGACTCATGAATTGACAACAAAGTACAGTGAACCCTCACTTTAAGCGGTCAATTGAACCCACGGAGGCCCGCGTAAAGCGAGAAACGCGTAAAGTGAACAACATAACATATGGGATTAAATGAAATAGAGACCGGCTGACCCCCAAACTCCACTTTTTCCGACACAATACCTATGTTCTAGTAAAAATAACATCTTAATTTTATGATGGTACATGCACACAATTAATACTTAAGAGAAATAGAGAAATACAGTCGCCAAGTTAATGTCCATTCAAATAATGGACTCAACTCCCTCCCCCTCTTCTCACACTCCTGGCTCTTCCCTCTCTGAGAAATGTTTGGGGGAAAAACCACTAGATTTTAAGGTATAGTAATAAATAATACCTCAAACTAAAGTTAGGATAATATAATTGACATTGCTGGATTCCTTGTAAGACCAGGAATATTTTGAATATAAATGTCGTATATTTTGCACAATAGATAACATATTTACTCAGAGTAAACAAAATACTTAAGAGTAGATCTAAAATTTGTATGTCTAATGCAAAATCTATGATGTTTATATTCAAAATGATCATCAAATTGTAAGAATTCCAGCAATGTAAATTATATTCTGGCCGGGTAATTTGTATAAATTTTATGAGCTAAAACAAATATCTTCAGTTAATAAAAAAAAGTACCCCACCTTGCCTCCCCCCCTCTTCCAACCGCGCCAGATGGTCGGTCGGTCCCTCCCTCCCCCCCACCCCCCACCAACCCTCCCTACCAGAAAAATGTGTGGGAGAAACCAGAATATTTACCTTTTTAGTAATAAATAATACCTCAGACTAAAGTTAGGATAATATAATTGACATTGCTGTGTACTGCGCACATCATTGTCATTCCTAAAAACCCCATTTAATTCATATTACGCTATATAACATTCAAATCCACCGCGCTTGTAAAATCTCAGAAAACGGGAAACATTGTTAAAGGATAACTCACCTACTCAATGTTACTAGACCATGTGTTGTATTGTACCCAGGTACAGTTATATCATATTAATTGTATGTATTCATAGCATTAAGGAGAACTCAGGGTATCCATAAGATGAATGTTAAAGTCCAGTTGAGCCGGACTAGTGTACTGTAGGACTAAGTGTGGATCAGGGTTTGAAGGTCATACTATTTACGTCTGTGAACGTGTAGCGAACATAACTTCCACAGATATCATATGAAAATACATGAGAACAATGATCTGGAAAAAGGATAAATGTATCAGAACTATGTGAGGTGTTGGAAGTGACCCAGAAACTATACTTGAAAGGAAATACTCTTGTATGCGTCGGTATGAACTTAGTACACCTCGTATCCTCACGTGACATATACCCACGACAGGTACAGTGATCAGAGAATCTTATGTCTGTGTTCAAATAGTGCAATGTGTGAGAGGAGGATCCCTCATTACAGTTTTAAGTGAAGTTGATACACCCCCGCCATGAACATTCAGCCTTTGTTTTAAGGCGCGTCATGTACCCGCATCGGGTGTGCCGCGTTGATATTATAACCCAATGAATTTTCCCACGAACTAGCAAACCAAGACCTTACCTTAGTGTGTAATTTAGGATTAAAATATGTGTTTATACGACATGAGTGACAATATACCGAAAAGTGTTCAGGTGAGAACCGTAAGAAATAAAAGTAAAAATTAAAGATTGGAAACTGTAGGCCAACGTGGTGACGAGCGGCAGGGCACTGCCCTCAGTAACCTCCGTTCTACCGTCACCTCAGGTCAGTGTCCTATCGGGCTATATCCCGACCTATAATTAAGGCTTATATAGAAGTTATTACAGTTTAAAGCTTTGCCTGATATATAAGTGTAATAGTAATGTTAGGGGGTGTGATAACCGCCCGTCAGGCATTATTTCTGAGTACCCTCCGTTCTACCGTCACCTCAGGTTCCATGCGGTCGGAGTGCCTTGCTGCCCGGCAGCCATTATCCCTATGAGCGTCCCAACAGGTGGTGACTACTCCCAGCTATGCCAATCCACTGTGAACCTGTGGATTTCCAGCACACCACTCCAAATGAGTAGTCACAAATAAGGAGACCGTGAGAAACTCTGCGGTCGTCACTTGGAGCGACCTATAATACCAGGCGTAGAAATAGTACTGGTATGTCTCTGGGTGAAGCCCTCGTCTTTACCCACATGTGTGTTGAGATGGTGCTACTATGTATGATAACCGACGGTGCTATATTCCATACAGGTGGAGCAGTCTGATGTGTTAAGGGATAGTGTAAGAAGGAATGACCGAGGTAAGGTGGTCACAGATTGTTATGCAATAATTATGTGGATGACACGCCATTAATGTAAGACGTCTGGCGCCCATCTGGGTAACCAACATTTTCGTTGTTCTTCTGAGGAAGACCCATTCAATTGTTCGTTTTTTACCAGTATGCTTTATAAGGAATAAATTAATTAAGACATGTTATGGTTTCACCCTTCTTTCCCCTTATCGATCTGGTCAATGGAAAACCTAACCCAATGCCTAGTCCACGCTGCATGCTACCTAACGAGCTACATGCTGTCCAGAGGGGGTCTGGTGGCAGCGACCCTTAGAAATTAAGATTAGAGTTAAGTATTTACCCTTAGTATTAGTGACTCCCAGTCTGGCAGTATAGCGGGATTCCTTGCAAGACCAGAAATATTTTGAATATACACACCATATATTTTGCACAAAAGATAACATATTTGCTCTGAGTAAACAAAATACTTGCATTAGATCTAAAATTTGTATGTCTAATGCAAAATCTATGATGCTTATATTCAAAATGATCATCAAATTGTAAGAATTCCAGCAATGTAAATTATATTCTGGCCGGATAATTTGTATGAATTTTATGAGCTAAATTAAAAAAATTACACTTCACCTGCGTATATGAGTAGATGCACCGCGTAAAGTGGGAATTCCGGTTCTGGCAGGGTACAGCGTAAATGCGTAATTTGGGACCGCGTAAAGCGAGGGTTGACTGTATATAAAAGGTAATAATTTTCAGAGTCATGGAAGAGGAGTGGGGTCTGGGGAGGAGCGGCGACTGTTGGAACTGGATGAGGCCATAGAAGCTGTGGATGCTGCCATTGAGTACAAGAATGAGGTGATATGCGGGCGGACGAGAGAGCTGAAATGTCATGCCAAACTTCTCAATCAGGTATGTTAACAAGAAAAAAAAAAAAAAAAAAAATTATATATATATATATATATATATATATATATATATACATACATACATACATACATACATACATACATACATACATACATATATATACATATATATACATATATATATATATATATATATATATATATATATATATATATATATATATATATATATATATATATATATATATATATATATATATATATATATATATATATATATATATATATATATATATATATATATATATATATATATATATTTCATTTTTAGTCCATATAACACGCGGACTTTGAACATATAATCAACGACCTCACCAGCAATGGAATCGAACCCTCGACCTACTGGGTGGACTAGGGAAGGGCACACAAGTGTCCTGGCCTAGACTAAACCCAAATTGATCACTCTATATATATATATATATATATATATATATATATGCAGTAGGTTACCCAAGCTGAAAGAGTTAAGGAAAATTCTTATACTGTACATAATGAGATGGATCCCAAGTCACCTCATAAAAATAGTATTTTACTGTACCTGTGGTAGGATTTACCAAACTTTCGTTTCAGAGATATTAATAACACAAGTTTTACTTGCCAGGATAACCTTATGGAGAGACTAATGAATCTGTGTCCAGAGGAAACCCGGTCCCTTCTAGTCAAGTATTTCAATAAGGTGATAGATCTTCGAATTGAGTTCAGGAAGCAGGAGATTATGTTTTCAGATCTTGAGGTAAGATCATTGTTTGTTGAACTGTTTATAAGTTTAAACACATTGGTTAAAAAAATATAACATGTTGCTGTTGCCAAACTTATTTATTTTAAGTACAGTACTGTACCAGATATTACATAAGTGTGATCGTTGTAAGCCACCTGTGTGTGTTAGTGTTACATGTGGTATGGAGCTACACTGGTCTTGACTTGTTTCATGGTTGATTAAGAACATTAGTGATGTATAAGCTTAGGTGGTAGTAGTGTAAGGATGTACTGTACTTTATATCTTAAAGTACTTCATTTTGCAAGCTGAGGATGTGAGTAATTTTAGCCTTTTACTGTCACTTTCTACGTTATGGTGTTGTCCCACTCTTGAGTTTGTTTCCCTCTATCCATATCATGCATGAAGTGGATGGATGGTAATACAGCGAACCCTTAAAGATCCGGACTAAAAGGGGGATCACCTGTCCGAAAAAGCCGATTTTTTTTAATCTTCCGACAAATGTACTAAATGTATAAAAACTATAAATAATGGTATAAAAAACAAAACAAAAAATACAGTACATTTTTTCCTGACCACTGGGGTTAGTTATACAGACTTTTTCCTGTGAAAAAGCCAAAATTTTGAGCAAGATATTACTGTACTCACTTTGTACTCAAATGTACTACACTAAAGGACTAATTTTTTTTAATCTCTTGTGCAAACTATGTGATGTTTATACCCAAATTAATCACTATCTTGCAAAGATTCCAGCAATGTAAGTTATACTGTATTCGGCTATGTCTAGTATGTGACATTTTAGAAGATCAAAACTTAAAGCCTAAAATTATTCACCCTGGGTGGGGGGGTTGAGGGAAGGTGTTGACAGCCAGGCAGGAAGGTTACCAAGTGCGTGGTTATCAGCCAAATTGAGGAAGTTTAAATTTTTCACTTATGAAATGTCAATGAATTGACTTGGCAGAATATAGCTTACATTGCTGTAATTTTTGTAAGTTAGTGATTAATTTGAGTACAAACATCCCATAGTTTGCACCAGACAAAAATTTTTGTAATTAACTTAGAACATTTGAGTACAGGTTTGCCCTTAGAACAATTATTTCTTTTACTTTTTTCATAATATGTATTTAGGATGGTGTATGCATGTAACCGAGTAAAAATAAATGAAGAAAGTTACGTGTATCTACCCGAAAATATGAGTTGAAAAACAACCATAATACCTCACAGCTTGGCCCAGTCGCCTGGTGGTTACAGTGATGAGTCTAACCTGACTACAATGCCATGATTAATCACTATTATATTAGTAAACACTAATAATAACAGTAAATCCAGTGAAATATGGCAGGGAGGGAGGAGTTAAGTGCAGACGACACGTTACTAGCAGTCACATGATTCACTCCTCTTACCCGCACCCGCTGCCAATAGTACGGTCGAAATACATATGTTTTAGTCTAATTTGAAAACTATGACAGGCCAAGTGTTAAGCAACTTATATAAACCATGCATTTACCTACGATAACATAAGAAACATTGTATTATTACTCGAGTGAATGAAATATTCCCACAAACAAAGCTGTTTGTTTCCTACCTCCCGGTCAGTCAGTGCCCACGGGCCTAAAATATTCTTTGTTCTGTTTTGCAAATTCTTCTTAGGGAGGCTTCTTAGCCCAGAACCCAAAATTTTCTTGTCCAAATCTTCCGAAATCCGGATTTACAGGGTCCGAATCTTCAAGGGTTGACTGTACATGTAGTTGGAAGCCTTGTTTCATATATTCTGATGTACATTTGTTCCAATTTTATAAAAAAAAATCCTAATCCTTGTTTTGCTGGTCCATGGCTCTTTAAATTATAATACAAAATGTGTGTGATCTGTTTAAAATCCACCCCTCTATGTTACCTCACCACAAGATGAATTGAAATCTACCCTCACAGGAACTACCTTGAGACCAAATATGTTCTGTAGGTGTAGATTGGTCTAATGCAGTACTGGACTGTAATTGGGATTATTTCAGGATTGATACCTGTAATATATGTCTTGTATAAAGAAAGAAATTAAGTTCAACCTTCTGTTTGTTGTAGAATATCATAATTAGTGCCACCCAGCTTGTTAAGATCATCTGGCCGTGGTGGTGGTGGGTCTCTCACCCATTGTTGACCAGGTGGTCTGTGGGATGGTACAGTAGTCACTTATAAGTCCAGGTCCTCCACTAGTGCAGTACTGACTCAACAAGCCCCACCCCACTGGATTAAAAATTTGTACACTCAACAGTCCTGGCAAATCATTATGAAAGATTATTATCTGAGCACTGGCTTTTGTATCCTTGTTCACCCCAGCTAACAGCATCCAAACAGTGTAGATCAGTGCCTCTAAAACTTAGACTAATTACAAAATAAAATATATTGAGATAAATAATTAGTTGGTGTGTGATGGCATGATTGGTGTGTAGTAAAGTTCAGTCTTTTGTTTTTAGTATGTAAGCATTTTCTCATTGTATGTACTGTACTTGTACTGTACTCAGTAATGGTGAATGAAATTGGTTTTGAGTGTAAGAGTATAGGTAGAAGGGTCTGTCTGTCTGTAATGGTGGGAATAAATTTCTCTGTTTATATTAAAAAATCAATTATTTCCCAGCAGGATCAATTAATTCACTTTTTGTACAACTAGAACCAGTATGAGGAACAGTCAAGGTATATAAGTGACTTGAAGGCAGCATACCAACAAGCCAGTTTGGAGATGGAGAGACGTATTACATCACAGCAGCGTGATTACCAACAAAAAATATCTACATTGTTACGACAATTCAACGATGACTCCTCAGGTATAAAGTTTTGTTTTGTACTAACAAAATTAATAAGCTCTTTTTATTCAGCCTCTCTACTCTGCTCACCTTTTTCACTATAGTTATGGATACCCCTCTTGGCAATACAATTATTTGTGGACAGAGAGTCCGTGTTACTCCTATATCTGGTACTCGTATACTCGGTTATACGTATAGCAGTTTTTACCACCCAAATATCGTTATCCGTACGCCGAACTGGGTTATACACGTACAGTATCTTGGATTATTCAAGTATTTCATATTCGTGCCTCGACAATTCCACTATTTTTGTTTGCTATTTATTCATGAAACCTTAAAAAACTTATTTAATGTTCTTACACCATCAGTAGTGAGGATACAGTACTGTAGGTATGTTATAGACAAATGACCCGAGAGGAATAGAATAAAGTAAACAATTCTTAAAACACCTTCTTTTCTCATTTAAACACTAATTCCATTATTTCAAACACTTTTTAACACATTATAACTCCTTGAGTGTGAACAACTGTGTCCTGCTGCAGTAGTTCACACTCAAGATGTCTTATTTGAAATGTACAGTAGTGCTGGGTGGTGGTCTGCTATCATAATGCTGCTCCACTGTGCAAGTATTTCCTTGCTGTGGGATACATTAACAGTCATTTGTTAACCCGAGTGTACCCATGTGAGCTGTGGATATCAGTAACTTTTCTTTATTATTGCACAGTACATTTATAATATGATTAAAATGTTTTTTATTTGTAACTGTACAATATTTATATGATTAATATGTGTTTCTGTGCTTTTTACATCAGATTAACTAACAAATGTAAGCTAAATAGACTGCTATGGAACCTAAGCCCCCTTATTACATTGGTTTATATGGGAAAATTTGCTGCTTTAATTCACATAACTTTTGCGAATGGAAATCATACGAATAACAAGAACTTGCTGTACAGTCAAAGACAAAAGTCATATCCGCATTCTGTCCGATGATCACATACATCTAAATAACCATATTGAAAGCCATGCCACGACTACATCCTGGCAGTTGGCAAGCCTGATCCAACTGTTCCGATGATACGGGGAAGCGTGTGTCGAATGGTTCGCCATTCGCGAGATGTTTTCACCAATTTTCTGGACACAAATTTTGTCTTTGACTGTACAGTACCTTCCTTTGTCTTATTTCTGTTTCACAATTTAAAACATTGATTTCTGGCTATGACTTTGGGATATTATTATGTTTTTCATTTTGAATCTGACACGTTTATCTTTTTTCTCATTTAATCTTTATTTTGTGTACAGTACATTTGGAATTTCATCATATGGTATAGTTGCTTTCAGGTGTGATGCTACCCCCTACCATGCCTTCTTTGCTCAAGTGGCAATGTCACTACTCATGGGGGCTAGGAAACTGATTGATAGGGCTGTTTCCTAGTATGGTACACGTACAGTATCCCGATTTATGATGGGGTTACGTTCCCGAAAATCCCATTGCAAATAGAGTTCAATATAACATGGGGTTCAATGAGATACATTCCCAGCCAGTGTGACACATACATCTATCACTGACAATTTTTTTTTACACTAATAAAATAAATAAACAAGACTTGCCACATCATTAAGAACAAGCCTGGTTGCATCACCTCCAGAGACACGGTTTTCTTGGGTGCCTTAGCTTTCCAAAGACGTAGGAGCCTTCAGCAACAGTTTGCTAGACATTTTCAAAGTTACACTGCTCACTTCAGTCACAAAAACAGAGCAAAAGCACTTGTCACAAAAAACAGAGTGAAATCACTTGTCACAAAACAGAGCGAAATCACTTGTCACAAAACAGAGCGAAAGCACTTTGCAATCACAGTAAATGTGAAGAATAAATAAAATAATACAGGTAATAAAAATAATTACTGCATTGCCATTTGGGTTTTGGTTTTTAAGAAATGCATCCCAATTGTTCAACAAGGGATACCAGCACAGTATTCAGCAGTTTAGCCATTGTTCATTCAATTTTCTTTTTGTTTTTTATCTTAAATAGGGAAGTGGTTTTAAAACTTCATCATTAATGCCAGCATTTGTATACAGTCATTCAAACTGCAGCTGCAAGGGAAGTGCTGATGGAAAACAGTTGTTTCAGGGCTATACATTTTGGGCCAAAAAATTCACATCCCTCAAAGCACCATTTTCAAGGAAATTCACCCGGGGAAATTCATTTGAGGGATATGAATTGTGGACTAAAAATTTCACATCTCTCCAAAATTCCGCTTTCTTAGATATGCGCTCGAAAAACACATGGGGAGTTAGGCAAAAATTAGAAGTATTTCTGTATAAAACAAAGATTTATTCCCCTTGCTCGACTCCCACCTTTACAAGGACAATCAGACAAAGCATACCTCAAGGACTGTGACTGAGGCGGTTTTCTTCCACAAGGGACCACTTGCTTCACTTTGTCAGATTCGTGGGTAAATTATACAATTTCTGTGGAATTCAGACATTTGGGTTTCAATGTCAAAAAATTGCCGAGTAATTTGACCTCAAAATTGTGAAAAGCAAATTAGAGGAGTTCAAGTGTACTGTATATGCATCTCTCCTACTTGATGGCTTAAGAGTCAAGTGTGATCTGGAGGTTAAACTTTAAAGAACATCACTATGGGAGACTCACATCCATGTTCTTTGAAGCTTCAGGTTTCAGATCACCTGCCTTGTTGTTGTTCTCTAATGTATTGGAAGCTTTGGTCAATATTGGAAACTGTGGGACCAACTCTTCATGTGTTACATACAAGTATATGAATACGGTAGCCCTGAACCAGCCAAATTCTAACTCCAAAATTTACCTGTCATTCCCAGTTACTTTCTGCTGAAAGTACTGTACTGTAATATTACTATTATAAATGATTTCCTTTGAAAACAAACCCCGCTCTTACTGACTTTCATACTCACTATCTTTCACCAATAAATTTTGTTTTGTAAAAAAAAAAAAAAAAATAAAAACATCTTTGATAAAATATAATTTCTTTTACAGGATCAGGTGCTCATGAATTCCGTTTACGAGAAATGGAAAAGCAATTATTTTATTATAAGAAGCTAAGCCGAGACTTAAAGGCCAAGCTACGACAGTATAGTGAAGATGCCCGAAATGATAGATTCAGGGATGAACAGGCAGGTGAGTTACTAAGAAAGCTTAAAACTATTAATAAATAGCAATGAGACAGTAAAGTTTTATTATACAAAGGTGTAAGAATAAAAATATTATTATACTTCAGGTCCTTTGTCTTAACCATCTGATTTAAGTTAAAATGTCATTTGAAAATGTTATTTCATGAAAAAATAAATAAAATATAATTATTCCCACAAACCAAGTAACTGAACCATGTTAAAAAGTTAAGTAATTACACTACCGTTAAGGTGCTGTACAGTAGTGTACTAAAGCCTTTACACTATGAACTTTCTATTCTATTTTCTTTCAGGTCAATCATCACAGCCCTTTGCTACTGCTTCAGGTCACCCAGAAGCAGGTCCTTTTACTACCCGGCGTCACCCACTCATACCCTCTCATCCTCCTGCGCCAATTTTACCAAGAAGGACCCGGATGCAAGCTGCAGAACAGGCTGCTAAACATCCAGTGCCACAAACTAAAGTTACTAGAGAGAAAAACAAGATCATTATACAACAAAAATCAGACAGACAAGGGAAAACAAAAAACAGTTTGGAATCCAGATAGATGAAAATTATAACAGATAAACAAGTGATAATATAATGGTAGAACCGGTAGTGTTTTATTCTTTATATCTTAAATAACTATTATTTTTAGTAACAAACAAATAAGTCAGCCAAAGATAGCATATCAAAAGATAGATACTATTACTGTACAGTGATATCCAGTTAGCAGGAACAATTGGTGCAGAGCACTTCCGGGGATGGGAGACGTCCGGGTATCCAGACGACTTTCACAAACCCTGAAACATTCTTTATCCCCAGAATTTTTTCCGGTTACTGGGAAAAGTTCCGAGAGTCTAAACTACGCAGCTTGCACAGATATACACTAGCCCCTCAGAATGTTTCTGGGTACCGGGGAAAGTTTTCGAAGAGTCTAAACTACCGGAGTTTGTAAGAGCAGTTCTAATTAAGTTAAAAATTCCATTTCTAGTAATATCTCCATTAGCCGGAATCCCTCAAATCCGGAACACTCCGATAGCCGGAATTGAAATTTTCTCAGAGAATCATTCCCAAAGCCGGAATTTTCGGAAAAATTCCGGCTTTGGGAACAATTTTCCGAAGGGTACATTTTCTGGAAAATTCAAAGAAAGTTTTCCCGATACCCAGAAAATTCCAGAAATGGGGAAGTTTTTTTCCGGGTTTGAGAGATGAAAATCAAGCGCATTTTCTGGAAATTCCGAGAAAACCTTAGCGTTTCCCGAAAAAATACGGGGGCGAGGGATATTTTTCCGGGTTCGAAAGATGATGTAATAGGCAATTTCTGGAACTTTTGTGAAAAATTTTCCATTACCCGGAAAATTCCGGAAATGAGAGATTTTTTTCCGGCTTTGAGAGAGTCGTCTTGTTACCCGGAAATCTCTCATTCCCGGAAGTGCTCTGCACCAATTGTTCCGGCTAACGGGGATATCACTGTACTAGAATAATCCTGAATAGTTATGTAAAAGTTTGGTTAAATATAAAAACTAAAACTATATGATACGGGCATGCGAGGTGCCGCATGAATGAAGCGAAGACTGGTATTTTCCACCTGCACAGAGATGTGGGGGATTAATAGGTCTCATGTAACTGACCTGACCTGATGCAATGTCAGGTGGTCACCCGTTGTTGGGTGGGGGATTAGTGGGTCTCATGACCTGAAGATGTCTTGAATAAAGACGAAAGCCAAGGTATTTTGAGAAACGAGGCTGTTGGCGAAAAGGTGTATAAACTTTTATTCACAACATCTGCTCTGATTGTGTTAGATAAATTAATTTGGTACCATTGCATATATGGAAATGCATTTCTGATAACAAAATTTACCCTGTGAGATATATAGTACTGTATTGTAAATGAAGGTATGGCACAGATTATTACAATAATGTATCTTTACTAATTAATGAACAACAAATAATCAAAATTGTATCATGAATGAGGTAGGAGTTGGTGACAAGCAATGAATGAGAGGCAACTCTGTGTGGGGTGGGGGGGGGGGGGTCACATTTACCCTCCAATGGACCCTTCACGCTCTCCTTCCCTCACAGCATTCATTCTAAACTTCTAATTGGGTTAAGAGATTAATTTGATACCATAATGTTCCTGAATAAATTCTCTTGAAACATTTTCAATAAGATATCCTTCAAACAAAATATTTCGACATGATAATGATGGGATTTCCAAACGTTTGTAAAAAAAAAAAAATCAAACACATAAGAAATGTTGATACCAGAGACAATAAAATCAATTCTAATTAATTTATACACCATTTTTTTTTCACCCAAATAATCCCGAATACTTTATCTAAAAGTTTGGTGAAATAAATATATTAAAAAAAAAAATCTATGACACAGGCATGAATGGAGCTGTTACAGCAAAGACCATTTTCCAGAGTCTAAACGACTCATCTTGCAGGAGTTGTAGTTATTTACACAAATGCCACTTTACACGTACAATATTGTTAATACTGCAAACAAAATAATGTTTACTACTACTACAGTACGATGTATATACAGTACTGTACTCACCAACAAATCCTGTTGTCTTCAGCCTAGAATAAGCACACACTGTTCACTCGGCTGAATGTAATACGTAACTGTTATCACGTTTTAACACTTTCTATGAAGGCTGGGTGGGGATAAGTGGGTCATGTTACTGACCTGACCTGATACAATATCAGGTCACCCATTGTTGGGGTGAGGGATTAGTGGGTTTTATGACCTGAAGATGTCTTTAATATAGACAAAAGCTCAGGTGCTTTAGTGTTTCCTACAGTATAATATGCATAAGTGTAATCACTTTTTATGTTCTTAACACTGCTTTAATAACACTCTTCTTGGCTGATTTTGTTCTGGTTCAGTAATGTACAGCACTGCACATCACAAATTGTAAAAAAAAACCCGGAATTGAGAATTTTTCTGGAAAAATTCCGAGCAAATTTCAATTCCGTCCATTGGAGAGTACCAGCTAACAGATATTGTAGTTACCCATGTAATACCAAAACGTTCTTTATGATTTGTACCCTTCATAGATCGTGCGTCAATTGGAGGTCACAAAAAAATTACAGTTGTCCCCTTAACGCGGTCAATAGAACCCAGAGGGTCCCGTGTTAAGTGAAATCCGCGTTAAGTGAACAACAGAACATATGGGATTAATTCCAATAGAAACCGGCCTGACCCCCAAACTCCACTTTTTGAAGACACATAACTATGTTGTAGTAAAAATAACATCTTAATTTTATGATGGTACATGCACACAATTAATACTTAAGAGAAATAGAGAAATACAGTCACCAAGTTAATGTCCATTCAAATAATGGACTCAACTCCCTCCCTCTCTTCTCACACAACACTGCCGGCTCTTCCCTCTCTGAGAAATTTGTGGGGGAAAACCACTAAATTTTAATAAATAATACCTCAAACTAAAGTTAGGATAATACAATTGACATTGCTGGATTCCTTGTAAGACCAGGAATATTTTGAATATAAATGTCATATATTTTGCACAAAAGATAACATACTTACTCAGATTAAAAATTTTATCTAAGATTTGTATGTCTAATGCAAAATATATGATGTTTATATTCAAAATGATCATCAAATTATAAGAATTCCAACAATGTAAATTATATTCTGACCGGGTAGTTTGTATGAATTTTATGAGCTAAAACATATATCTTCAGTTAATAAAAAAAAAAATAATCTTCAGGACACTATCTGTCAATCAAAGTACCCCACCTTGCCCTCCCCCCCTCTTCCAACCGCGCGGTCAGTCCCAACCCTCCCCCCCACCCCCCACCAATCCTCCCTTCAAGAGATGTGGGGTGAAAAATTTAGATTTTAACATTTTGTATTAAATAATACCTCAGATTAAAGTTAGGATAATATAATTGACATTGCTGGATTCCTTGTAAGACCAGGAATATTTTGAATATAAACGTCATATATTTTGCACAAAAGATAACATACTTACTCAGATTAAAAATTTTATCTAAAAATTTTATGTCTAATGCAAAATATATGATGTTTATATTCAAAATGATCACCAAATTATAAGAATTCCAGCAATGTAAATTATATTCTGCCGGGTAATTTGTATGAATTTTATGAGCTAAAACAGGCAGGGTGGAGGGTGGGGCAAATCTAAAAATAGCGTCTCGAGCCGGACACTCACCGCGTATATGATGAAAAAATCCGTGTTAAGTGAAAGTTCAGCTCTGGCGAGGCACCGCGATATGATAAAACGCGCTAAGTGAAACCGCGTTAGGCGGGGTAACACTGTATAAGTTTTAAGGGGAGTTCAATTTTATTCCTCTATATTCCTTGTGTGGAACTGTCCCTCCCTTGTCTGTCTCAACCTGATGATAGATGGGGGACTGGATTATTTGTACTACACTAATTTTTATAATTACAACTCCATATTTGATGGAAAAGAAATTAATCTAATGATCTAAATTCTATAAATTCATAAGAATCCTCTCCTTCAGTGAAGTATGGTAGTTGGGTGGTATGAGTCAGCAGAAAGTTCCCCTCTCCACTATCGGAGGCTTGGCCACCTTTCCTCCCCTCCTCGGAGGGAGGGGAAAGGTTTCCCAAACTGGGGAGCTCGAGTTGCTCCTGAGCAAATTCTCACTTATATGCATTTGTCTCCTGAAAATCCATAACAGACACATCATGGGCACAGTCATCCTTATCTAGGACAATTGTGGTGTACCCTATATAGCCCATTATCCATCACTTCCTCGTTGCAGGCGACAGGTTGCGAGATTCACCTCCAACGTACATATACCATATGCTCCATTTACCTGCCACCCAGTACACCAATTGCCAGGAAGGATTTGGTTTCATAAATTCATCAACTTCCTTCTTGGTGATCTTACGGTAATGGAAAGCATACCCTCTAGGGTGATACAATAATTAATTCAAGGGATGACTTGATAACTTCGATCATTGAAGAAATGGACCTTGGTATATTATAAATAGGTACTGTACTGGTGATGTCACCCACTATCATGTCCAGACCAACACGACTACAGCCATAGATCTCTCATTGTGCTCAGCAAACTCTCTACTGGACTTTGAGGAAGTGACCACTACCCTATCCTACTTTCCTCCCTGGAAGTCCTCCCGACACCACAGTTTCCCGTTGGCGGTTAGACAAGGTGGACTGGGACTTGTTCAAAGGTCTAGCGAAGGTAGACAGAAGCATTGAAGAATTTCCCTCCGTAGATGAAGTGGATGAATACTTAGCCAGTCTCCTCCAATGGGCTGGTCACTGCTCCATTACTTGGACCTCTGGTCGTGTAGCTTGCTGGCCTGTTCTTTGGTGGTCGGAGGAATGCAGGCAGGCAGTTGTTGAATGGCGCAGAGCTTATGGTCGCTACTGGTGTCATAGGGCAGAATTTTATCATGTGGCATACAAACAGGCCACAGCCCAAGCTTGTCGAGTTTTAAAGATATGCTCATCGCCAGTCTTTTTCTTCTTATGTCTCCTCTATCAATGAAAAAAAAAAATTGTCTCAGGTATGGAAAAGTGTGCAGAAAATTGCAGGTTAGTTTTCATCTAATCCTCCCCCAGTTCTCAGGGCCAATGATGGCAGCTCAGTTACCACCCCTCAAGAAGTTGCTGAGCTTTTTGGCACAGCATTTGCAGGGGTGTTTATGGCAGCTCGATCTCCAGAGTTCAAGCGGGTATGTCGAGTAGAGAAATCACAGGCCCTGGATTTTGGAGTGGGACATGGTGAGACATAGAGCATCATGTTCTCAATGAAAGAAATAAGAACCACCCACTCACTCACTGGAGATACATCACCAAGGCCTGATGATATCCCATTTTCAATACTCTGCCATCATGAAGTTGAGGCACAGAGCTTTCTATTGGAGCTATATAACGGGATCTGATGAGAGGTTGCCTTCCTACCCTCGGGGCGGGAGGCTACTGTCCTGCCTTTCAAGAAGACTTGAAAAGAAGGTCTTCACCCGCTAGCTTATTGCCCCATAGCTCTGACCTGTATCAGCAAGCTGTTTGAAAAGATGGTCAACTCACACTTCTTAGTATACTACCTAGAAGAATGCCCTTCCTTCACCATATCAATCTGGCTTCTGGAAAATGCATTTTACAACAGATGCTCTTGTTTGTCTTGAGTCCACTGTCTGTGAGGGTTTTGCTCATAGCCAGCATCTCATCTGCATTTTTTTTTTACCTAGACAAAGCAAACAACACAGCTTGGAGATTCTGCATGCTTAAATAAGTAGCTTGACAAATTTGGATTACAGGGAAATTTACCACCAATAATAGGTCAGTTCTTGGGACATCGCACTTTTAGGGTCTGCATTGCCATAGAAATATCAGCACCACATATTCAGGGCAGTATCTTGAGTGTGATCCTATTTATCACTGCAATTAATGGGATAGCAGCATCGGTTCCAGGTGGTGTATAAATTTCAATGATACCGCATGTTAGTGGCTGAACACCGCATGCAATTTACACTAGACAAGGTTTCACATTGGACCACAGGACATGGTTTCAGATTTTCTCGCTTAAGGACCATTGCCATGCATTTCTGCCACCTATGAGGTGTTCATCCAGCCTTCTCATATTGTGTGAAAGAATAGTACTGTACTACACTGTAACAGGGTAAAGAAAAGTACTAAGATGGGGAGGAAGTACTGAAGGTACAAATGTAATACAGTACGGTATTTGTAATTAAATTTTTATGAAATGGGCAATTACTGTTCTTTCACTAGATGGAGAATATTAATGCGTAGCAGACAAACATCAGCACTGTAAACTATGCACTACATGACTCACCTTCAAAAGTACATGACAATTTAGCTGATGGCTGCTTGAAAATGAGAAACCTGTATACAGTACAATCCCAGGTAGTTCATGATGCCTATTATGGATAAAAAAGATTGTACAAATAGAAATTCCATGCATGAATTTATTGTACAGTAATTCACAAATCAATTATTAATAATGTATTCTATCAATAATTCATGTATAAATATCATAAAATTAAACAGGTAAAACACCTATCTTGAAAAGTTTTATGACATCATACCCTTGATGATCACTCAGCTCAGGTCTCTCATTACTCTTGTGCCAGGGCAGAGGACCTGCCACTGGACTGGGTTTTATCAGTCTCTTCGCAGACTCTTTACAAGGTCAGTAAATGCCTTGACTCTATGGTACTCCAGCTCACCTGTCCACCTGCATGTAAACAAATTCACCTTGTTAGCATGTTACAAGAACGATTCCATTTAATTCAACGGTCAAGTAAATGGTTTGGGTATACAGTACATACAGATGAATTTATACAGGGTATTGGAAAACAAATTTGAAAAGACAATTGATAACAATGAGATTATGGGTATAAATGTGGTGGACTGACTGGAATCCCATTTTACATCTAAGACTCCTTATAGCTACCAAGTCTAGAGGGTTGAATCTTCAGGCTTCCATACCTAAACTTGTGTGTTTAAGGTCCGAAAAAAATAAAAAAAAGGTTTCCTTCACATTGTACACAATAAGGGAGAAGGCTGAAGGGTTGATGCTGCTGACCCTAGGGATAGACACTCACTCCAATCTGCTTTTGCCTGACATAAACTACAAGGTGACAACAAAAGGTTTATCACATAAAGCACGGCTTACCTCAGCACCAGAGGGGGAATAGGAAGGGATGCAGAGTTGCTGGATCACATCTTTTTATAAAATAGTTTTTTCTTTTATGACCACTCCACCATTCATAACATTGTGTAAGGATTAAGCAACTCTGTACACTAAAGCCAACTAGTAAAGGGAGGTAGAAGACAAATAAACTCCACATACTATTTTCACTCTTATACCCTCTGACACCATTCCATCCTTACATTCCTAAGTTTCCCCTTTACCTCCTCAATAATACCTGCTAGCAATGTCAAGCCATCAAAGAAAGACCACCCCTAATATCTTACAACAGTGCCTTTAACATCATGATAAACAGAAGGGGGTGCAATACAGACCCCTGAGGAACCCTAACCTCCACTTTAAATTCCTCATTTTCCTGACCATTTACTTTCACAACAGTTCTCAAGCCAATCAGACAAGACACTCCTCGACCAATAATTTCCTACTGTCCACTACACTACTTCATGTGAAACCCTGTCTACTGCCTTCTCTAAATCTACAGCTTATGTCTTATTAAATTAAGATTGGCCACAAGTATAAGAATTATTTGTAACTATTTACAAGAGTGAAGATGAAAAACACCATAAGATTAGTTCTTATACTGTTTCTCAATTACTGTACAGTTATGTTCATTCTCACAATCTGTGTAACCTTTCAGGTGGCTTTGTGCTTTTCTTTCAATTTCATGATAGTGAGAATACTGTATTGTACTGTAGCTACAGAAATGCTGCTAGAATGAAAAAAGGTCAGTCATACAAAATACCTTACAGCACGCACGCACACGTCACACACATCCAAAAATTTTCTGACTCCAGCAGAATCCACTTTGTACTTTTAATAGATACAAAGAGGCAGACAACCAAGGTGAGACACCCTGTGTAACTGTTGTACATAACCATACCCTCACTAGTACCCAAGGTGAGACACCCTGTGTAACTGTTGTACATAACCATACCCTCACTAGTACCCAAGGTGAGACACCCTGTGTAACTGTTGTACATAACCATACCCTCACTAGTACCCAAGGTGAGACACCCTGTGTAACTGTTGTACATAACCATACCCTCACTAGTACCCAAGGTGAGACACCCTGTGTAACTGTTGTACATAACCATACCCTCACTAGTACCCAAGGTGAGACACCCTGTGTAACTGTTGTACATAACCATACCTTCACAATTATCATAGAAGACTTAAACCATTGAACCAGACATCCAAAATACAGAATCTAGAAAAAACTACTGTACAATTAGCTATCAGGAGGCCGATTTAAGCATGAGCACATTGGTGGGAACACACAGCAGCCAATCCTCACAATAGGTTCATAACCCTTGCACTTAAAATCTCAAACTTCTATTAGGCATAAACTAACATTTATAGTCTGTTCACTTGAACCTTACAACTGAGGCCTAGGGTCAGCTTGTAGCAAGGCAGCTGATTGGCTGTTAGACAGACACTGAGAAAGTCACTACAGTTCTTTAGTATTTAATCTATTATATTTATATTTTGATATTTTAAGGGATAATAACTATTGTGTTGATCTCTGATAATTTCCTTATTTGGGGAAGCAAAACATAGCTTGTGAAACACTCTGGTAACACAAGTATCTTGAAGAGAACACAGACATGAACAAGTTCCGAGACATAAACTCCTCCACACTGTGACGTCATGCAGCACTGTGGAGGATGTAGCTGAAATTATGCATTTCATTTATTTATTTTTTGTAAGTCCTTTTTACTTTTAAAATTTCTACAAGTGAACTCTTCTAGTATATATCTACCTTTTGGCAATAATTATTAAAAAATATACCTTTTTTCTTAAACTATACTCATATATTGCAAGGGTATTTACTGTAGTTACCCTCTCCATGTATATAGTTTGTACAGTATAATTATTTATTATGTATTTTAAGAAAAATATGAATCTTTTGTATCATAATGATTACAGTATTGGCAAAAGTAGGAAGGTATGCACAAGAGCATTTACCCAAATTACACTTGTAGTGCACAACTGCACGTCCAATGTAAATTATCCTGACAGGGTAAACATCAGACAAATAAATAAATTAAATTAATAAAATAAAAAATAAATAAAATAATAAGACCCATTCACAGATCATTTTTTCTGTACACTTTTTTTGTGGGTCTTTTAATTGGCAGCTGTGGCAATACGACAGGCTAGTGTTCTTTCAGACTAATTTTCTGAGGTGAAGTCAGTGGCAGGTTGATTCAGTTTGACATTTGTTTATCATCAAGGTCTCTGCACAGTGAACCAACAATGTCTGGCCAACACAAGCATCATTCATCTTCAGCTCTGGTAAGTACAGTACAGTACAGTATAGTGTACTAAAACAAAGTTTAGTATTGTTAGGTCAGGTCTCAGGGTCATAATTCTTTAGGCTGGGTTAAAATGTTTGTGCTGGAAAACATCTCGGCTTTTAACATGGGATCCTAAGGGAAAGAGACTCATTGAATGAGAATTCACCCAAAGGGCACTTTTTAAGAATGCACATCAGTTGTTCAGTAGGACCTTACTGCATAAACAACCTGTCAGCACAGCACAGCACAGCACAGGGACATATAGCAGCCCAAACTATCACACCACTAAGGACACAAAAGAAACTGCTGCTGCTAATAAGATAAACTATTTCTAATCTAATATTATAAAATTAAATTATATTTTTCAAATTTATGTTTTAAATTATTAAAGAAAAAACTTTTGGGTAAGCTGGTGGGAGGCAAAAACAGACTGAACTCAAGAGTAAAAGGGTTAATAGGGAATCTTTGTACCAAGTGTTGCCTTTATTGGTGTCTAGAGTGAAGATGGAGGGCATTCTAATTTTCATACTTACAGTATTCAATTTCTTGATTAACTTACACCTTCAAGAACTAGATTCTGAACCCATACTCATGCTGACTATCATATTAGCCTAAACCAACACTACTGTACCTTAGGAAGAAAATGTTACAGCAGTAATGTATGTATCTCTCACTAATATGTCATGGGTTTGAGTCCTGCTGGGGCCACACATATGAGAAGGGTGTTATCCAGTGTGACCCTCACTACCAAACATCATCAGTTTCCACCTTTACTAACACTGGACAGACCAACCGCCTGAATGTTTAGTATGCTGACAAGTGGTGAAATGATAAATAAATACATAAAAACTAAGATTAACATCCACAGTATAAGAAACAACTTACTTTCCATCTCTCTTGAAGTGGGAACCAACAATAAATCCATTTGCATTGATGAATTTATGAACATTTTCCTTGGTTACCCCAGAACCCACCAAGACAGGCAAATCAACACTTCTCACGTCTGAAACAAACAAAGGAGACCAACATTACTTTATCTGATATTACTTTATCAATACATGTAATGGAATATTGATAACTGCAATCTTCCAATAAACAGAATTGAAATGGATTCAGGAAAAAAAATCTGTCTAAGCACATGCGAAGTTGTTTACGTGACGCTGCCTGGATATGTTGTAGCCGTCACCACCACCCGCACTGTTCCCACTCACACATGTTCTTAATGGCCAGCCATGTAAAAGAAAGGTTGACACTGGCTGCCTCACTGCTCTTCACCCTTGCCTCCTCCACATTACCGTACTAGTCTTATAAATGTGTATACACCTGAATATTACTGCATCATTTTTTATGGACTTTACATACAGTACTTTGTAAACATTTCACCACGCCAAGTGGGAAATTCACTAAAACAAAACAGCTTTGTACAGTACCAATTATTGCACTATGTAGTGGCATGGGTGGCCTCCCAGATTGTGTAGTATGAGATGAAGTGGATATGATGTAGATGTGTAGTGAAGATTATGTGGGTGTGTAGTGAATATGAAGAGGATCTGTAGAGGAAAATTACTTATGTGAGTGTCTCCCTCCCTCACACATACATGCACGCACACACACGTCTTTCTCTCTTAAATATGCCCCCCACCCTCACTTACCCCCTCTCTCACATCCAACAGAACAACCAACCAATCAGAAACTAGCTCTAAGAAAACCAGCCACAATAACTAGCCCAGGACAGAACCCTACCACACTCTTAGCTTAGCTTACCCATAGCAAGGTGGTCAGCCCACCTCCTCCTACATCCACCTAACTTTCTACAATTTCTGATCCATTACCTCCCTTTCCCCCACCTCTAATCTTTTTTCATACCTTCTTCCTCAACAACAACAACAACCCACACACGCACGCCCCCCCCCCACCTACCCCCTGTGATAGTGTGTTTGGTGACCATATCAGCCCCTCTGAGCAAAGGGGTTAAGTGTTGGATGTGTAGACACAAGTCCTGGAGTGTGGCGGTAATATTGATATTTTACATCGAGACTTTACCAAGGCTTTTGACAGTATACCCCATGAAAGGCTGAAAATTAAACTGGAAGGATACTTTATCCAGGGAAGTATCCTCGCGGGGATCGGATACTTTCTTCATGACCACAAGCAGTGTGTGGTGATTAAGAACATGAAATCATCATGTGTATCCATGATAAGTGGGGTATCACAGGGTAGTGTACTGGGACTGTTGGTGTTTGTTGGTTTCATAAATGATAAGGCAGAAGCTATACACTCCTCCATACAAGTGTTTGAGTTCAATGCCAAGATATTCAATGAAATTAAGGACTACAGAAAGATATCTGTCAACTTCAGGAGTGGTCAAAGGAATGGCTGTTAAGATTCAATGTCATGAAACGTAAAAAAGATGCACCTAAGTCGTACCAAAAACAAGGAGGCATATAACATGTCCCAACAGGACGAAGAAACACCATTAATTGAGACCATAATGTGAAAACAACCTGGGTGTGTATGTTAACAATGGAGTGAAATTCTGGATCACTGTGAGAAGAAAGGGAATCATGCAACTATGGTCATTCACACACCTAGATGGTGCAACCCTTATAACTCTCCTCAAAAGAGAGGTGCTTCCCCATTTGGAGATCTGTCACCTCATCTGGCTAATTCATTGAAAATGTTCAAAGGAGGGCCACCAAACTGGTGCATGCAATACAGAACCTCAGTTACCCAGAGAGATTAGAATGCCTGTAGTTGTCTAGTTTACTATAGGCTGGCAAGGGGTAACATAACAGAAGCTTATAAACATTTTAAAGGACCCTACTCAGTCAAGTGCTAATACTTGAAGCTAGCAGATACCTGCCCAATAGAGATCACAGCTTACAGTTGAAGAAGACAAGTTAAGAAAACAGTTGGAACAAATATTTTTGGAGTACGAGTTATGAACTCTTGGAGCAGTCTGCCAGAGAGTGCTGTGACAGCACTAGGTGTGAGCTCATTCACGATCAGACTTGTAAAACATTGTCTCAGGTACAGATACATTCTGGAACCAGTACATGACCAGTACTTGCCAACAGTGTGTAACAGTGACGTCACTGACTGGCCAAATGGCTAACAGGCCGATCGATGGTGAAGAGGATAAAGTACCTAATGAATCAGTTTCAAAACATTACTACCAAATCTTAGTTGATTGGTTGTTTTGAGAGACTACAAAACATCAGTCAACAGGTTATAAACTTAAGGAAATATGTACCAATCAACCAGATCCATTTTGCTATGTATAAGAAGTGCTGTCTTAGAACCCCATCAAGTTGAGCTGGGAGGACAACCAGATCCTTTGTCTTCCCTCTCAAGCTTTGATTTTCTACTAACAACAGATTGTTGACATGACCTGTGAGATCAACCTTCTGTTTACACCAGGTTGTTGACATGGCCAGCAAGGTATTGGGAGGTGGTCAACTATTAGGTGGGACTAATGAAAATGAAAGATTGACCTACAAATCCCATTTTACAACAATTTGAATATGCAACTCCAAAAAAACAGTACAGTATATTGACTTTAAATCTAAGTCCCATGAGTCCCTTTGAAGTGGGAACTAAAATTGGATGAATTTGAAAATGTAGCTGACATACCAGACCCCTGAAGGCAACATGGGAGAAAATTATTGATAATTTTGCTGCTCATTATAACAAACACTTCAATCAATAATTTGTTTGTTGAGGCTATAAAGTATTCTGTTAGCATGAATATCTACAGGACCAGCTCGTCTCAGCACCCAAGAAGTAGGAGATAACTATGATGATTTGCTCAATCCTAAAACTGGTTTTAAAAGGTGATTAAAAGAACAGTCTTCTATTTCTAACCATATGTGAGGACCCAGTAACTCCATATACTAACTCTAGCTACACAGGCAGGTAAGAGGCTCAGCTGGCACCCCTAATGAAAGTACAGGTAATCCTACCAAACTGATCTACAGGACAGTATAGTTAATACTAGAACACGAGAACAAACCTTGTGTTTACCATGACCACAAACCCCCGAGGTGCTGCCCTTGTGAAAAGTGGGTTCCATGGGTCTGGTGGTGTCATGTTAGAGGTACTGTGGATACAAGAACTGTTCCACTCATCTGCCTGACCTCCACCCTCAGGTGGGTACTGGAGACAAGAACTGTTCCACTCAGCTGCCTGACCTCCACTCTCAGGTGGGTACTGGAAACAAGAACTGTTCCACTCAGCTGCCTGACCTCCACTCTCAGGTGGGTACTGGAAACAAGAACTGTTCCACTCAGCTGCCTGACCTCCACTCTCAGGTGGGTACTGGAAACAAGAACTGTTCCACTCAGCTGCCTGACCTCCACTCTCAGGTGTGTACTGGAAACAAGAACTGTTCCACTCAGCTGCCTTTTCTTCTGAATGTGTATATAATAACAATACTTACTATGGAATAAACAGGAAATGTTACTAGCAAGAGATATACTGTATGGCATTTTGCAGTATCCATCGTCTCTGGTATCAGATTGTTTCACGTGTACAATTGGGTAGCAACTGTTTGGATGGTTCAGTAAGCTTACCATGCAACTGCTGATGATCTGCTTCTTGACCAGTTGCCGAGCCAGTAAGTATTACACCATCAGCAAGGAAGAACCTCGCAGCCTCAGCCATTTCAACGACACTGACATCATCAGTTATTGAATGGGCACTGCATAGAAAAAAAAATTGTAGTCATACCTAATAATATATAAGGCGAGTGATTTGGAGGAAAAGACACAAGTACAGGTGTACTGTATTAATGATAAATTACAGAATAACTAATTACTGTGGTCCCTCGGTTAACGAACACAATTCGTTCCAGAAGGTCGTTAGTTAACCGAAAAATTTGTTAACCAAAACCATTGTTTCAATGGGATTTTGGGTAATTGGTTCCAGCTCACCAAAAATTACATACAAAGTAAAAATAAATGCAGTAAAGTACACTTACTTTGAGGTGTGTACGTAGGAGGCTCCTGGTTGATGATGATGATGATGGGAATTAGAAGTGGGGGAGGAGGAGAAGGGAGAAGAGATGCTAGTGGGGGTGGAAGAGAAATCACCCGATGCTTCATGCCATCATTTCACCCATAAAATTTTAAGTTCACTAGGTGTAATTCAAGATAAATTTCAGAATGACCAATAATTGTATTGTAAAAATGTAAAAATAGTTTATGTTCAAGAGAGTCTCAAGCAAGATGTTACCTCTACTGACCAGAGATACAAACTGACGCCTGTTTGGTGAGTTGAGTGGCTGTTTGGCGCACTAAAAACTAGTTTCCTGTACGTACTTCAGTTATGTTAAATAATTGTTAAAATGACTAAAAATTTTAATATAAAACTTGGAAAATTATTGAATAATACAACCTTCTTGATGTTTACTCAAATGGTAACGAATTTAAGCCCTAGAACCGATTACTGTGTTGGCAGAATAATATCCAGCTGGTGAGCAAGCAAAAACATGTTGAGAGGAATTCGTAAGTAATTCGTTAACCGAATTGAATATTCTTATGGAAGGTAATTCGTTAACCGAAATTTCGTTAACCGAGGCGTTCGTTAACCAAAGGACCACTGTACTGTAATGATGAATGTAAAAAGTACGTGTAGTGGCAGATCAGGAGGGGTTCAGTCAAACCCTCACTTTTTACATAAGACTCACCTGGCATCATGTTAGACTAAATCACCTCAGGTTAATACTGTTTAAGGATTATTGTGCCAGATTACAATTTTACCTGCAGTATTTATCTAACTCATCTGCATTCTTCTTAGATTCAACTTTGAAATCAAGATACAGGTGTACCCTGAAAACCGACATCCCAATAACTGCCGCTTCTCATAACTGACGATTACATATAGGGGAAATACCCCGCAAGTTTTGTTGATACCACGAAGATCCAACGATTGTGAGAGGAGCGGCAGAGCTGTTTTTTAATTTGGTGGGCAGTGGCTTGGTGCAAATTCTTGCCAAGAGAGGGCTCTGTTCACTGTCTCTGACTCATTCCTACCATCTTTGCTCTTGTTTACATTTACCCTGTGTCTCTGACTTCCTGTATTTTTTTATTTATTTTCGACTTCATGTGTTACGCAATCATGCCTAAAGGCCCCAGTGATAGTTCCTCTTGTGCTGCCCCTTTTAGAGGCAGCTTGATGTGATGTGATAAGGCATAATAAGAGTGGTGATGGACCAGCAAAGATTGGTAAAGACTTGAACTTGCCACCCTAGACTGTCTCCACCATCCTCAACACAGGTAAATAACAGTCTCAATTTATGCTTTACATTGCGTATGTAAAGCTAATTATGTTTGCTTTATATGTCTGCTTTATATTCTTGCTTTACAGTGTGCATGACAAAGATATATCTTGGGTAGATGGGGGTTTTTGGAGGGTGGCAGGTCCCTAACTCCCTGAATTTTTTATGTTCTTATGGGATTAATTGGTTCAATAACCATTGATTCACTAGCCAATGACGTTTTCCAGTCCTTATATGCGTCAGTTATCGTGGTACACCTGTACAGTATTCTTTTTTTAACCCCTTGTGTGTGAGGTCCTGTCTGTCCTGAATAAAATCATCTGGCGTTAGCCAAACAAAATATCACAAGTGGCGTCCACCGTAGTGAAGGGGTTGGGGAAGATACTCTACTTACTGAAAGATTAATAATTAAATCCTCTTTTTATCATTAATGTCAATGAATAATGCACAAAATTGATTTCCTAAAGCTTAAGGAAAGGAAAACATCTTTGTATAAAGAGGCAACATCAAGTTGAAGTGGATTGAAGTAAATCTGGTGAGGTCATGGGATGACAGGTTGTCTAAACACTTCATTTCCTTTTGAGCCCATGCTCATGTGCTGGGTGGCTGGGCAGCTGCTGGTACAGTATGTACAATATTATAATGCTGGGTGGCTGGGCAGGAAAGTTCATCTCCCTAATCTTCATATGTAAACATTGCCAGCATTCATCTTAATAATTACATGATCACACCATTTAATATGATGGACATACTGGAAGACTATCAGCTTCTCTGATCACAGTCAACATACCTGGAAGAAATGTTCTATAGACTGTCCACTAATAACACATCATACTGTACTGAAGTGAAACGTTCATTCATATTATTTTTCTTTACCTGTGTTTCTTCTTTATATCGGTGAAAACCAAAACATCATCAGCATCAATCGCCCGTCGGTAGCGGAGCAGAGGTCCAGCACATCCGTCCATGAGCCCTTCATCCGCCACGTGGGAGAACACAAAACACTCAGCCCGGATGAACTCTAATCCACATGCTTTGCTCACCGCCAATGCTTCCTGGTTCCCACCTGCAAGTATCTGATACACACATCCTACTGTGAGATATACAAGAGTGATCATTTACTGTACATGTTAAGGTTCCCTATGACAATCTCTCTCTTAGAAATACATTCACTGGTTATTACCCTACACAGTACAGTATGTACCCCTGGCATCTCCAAAAATGATAATTATCTTCCTCAGACCTCCCCACTGTTCTCAATCATATCAATTCGATGAGAGTTCTCATGGTGCTATCAGGGACCAGGGTCACATGACAGGTAGTAGGCAGCTACCAAACAGGGAGGTACTACCACCAGGGAAGATATTGGAAGCATAATGTGTTGTATAATGGTAGACCCTGCTGCCATATGGCATCACAAAATTTGTGACCAAGTCCCAGGTTGCTGATCTGACTTTCTGCTTCATTTACACACAGTTGCAGGGTCTCAGTTGTTTCTCTTACTATTGACAACACAACATACATAATGTATAACGTTTCTCACTCTTGATTTATTTTTTCATTTTTGTATTTATTTATGGTCTTTTATTATTATTATTATTATTATTATTATTATTATTATTATTATTATTATACACAGTATTCAATATCTTTGTATATTTTCTTTATTAATTTCTATTATTATTATTACAGTGGTCCCTCGGTTAACGAGCACAATCCGTTCCAGCAGGTTGCTCGTTAACCGAAAAACTCGTTAACCGAAACCCGTTTCAATGGGTTTTTGGGTAATTGGTTCCAGCTCACCGAAAATTGCCTGAATTCAACAAAAAAGGTAAAGTACACTTACTTTGAGGTGTGTATGTAGAAGGCTCCTGGATGATGATGATGATGATGATGGGAATTAGAATTGGGGTGGAGGAGAAGGGAGAAGAGAAGGCATTGAGGTGGAAGAGAAGTCATCCCATGGCACCATTTCACCCATAAAATTTTAGTTCTCTTGGTGTAATTCAAGATTATTTTTTTTAAATCAACACTGCACTGCATTATATATTGTCAATATGCAAAATAAATTTCAAAATGACCAATAATTTGCTTGGAAACACAGATAAAAAGCGTTTAGTTGAAGAGAGTCTCAAGCAAGATGTTACCTCCACTGAAAACAGAGAGACTAACGCCTGTCTGGTGTGTTAACAGGCTGGATGGCACGTCAGAAATTAGTTTCTTTACCTTCAATTATGTTCAATAATTGTTAAAATGACTAAAAAAGTTAATATTAAACTTTTAAAATTATTGAATAGTATAAACTTCTTGATATTTACTAAAATATTAAGGAATTTAAGCCCTAAAACCGATTACTGTATTGGCGGACTAATACTGCAGCTGGTGGACCGCCAAATGCAAGCGAAAACATGTTGAAGTCGGCTCGTAAAAAACTCATTAATCGAGGGATTGCTCGTTAACCGAAGTTAAGAATCTTATGGAAGGTAAATCGTTAACCGAAATCTCGTTAACCGAGGCGCTCGTTAACCGAGGGATCACTGTATAAGTATTATATTTTTGGCCCCCAGGCCCTGATGTAAGTCACTGACCTATGCCCTGGTGAGCTCATCCCATAAAAAAATAAACAAGTTATTAGGTAAATTTCAAGTTTAACCCCATTCGTAAGTCGGGGACCCCTTATACAAGCAACCCGTGTTACAGAAATTTGCCCTTACGGAATTTTGAAATTATGACCCAAAAATTCACGATAAGGACAAAAAACTCGCCCTAATGGAATTTTGGTAAATTTTTTAATTTTTCAAACAAAAATTGTGATATATAACAAAGAAATTTACAGAAACTATAAAATTTATTTCAGGTGGCAGCTACAAGATGGCTGCTCAGTTTGAATTATTTCCCCAGTTTGTATTCAGTTATGCATCTGTTTTACTGTGTACCCTTATTCAAAATGGGTGGAAAAAGACCATCAAATTTGAGTGACAGCAGTGGTGATAAAAGATTCCATAAATGAATTATGTTGAACAATAAACTTAATGTTTTAAGGAGGTAACTCCCATTAACTCCAATACACCACCTCACCTCACCTCACCACCTCCAGCAGCACTCAACATCGTTTCTGGTGAGTTAAATTCAAGTGTGTGCATTTATTATCATGTTACATCATGAATGATTCATTGTTGTGTCTATAATCATTCATATACAGTATGTGCTGGAGTTAAATTTTTGGGCCACAAAAACATTCCATAGAAACGCATCTGAACTGACAGAGTAGAACGACGATACAACGCGAGATACGTTCCAAGAGAGGTCGCTTTAAACCGGATTCACACTAAATCAAAGTGTTGTTTCAATGGAGTAATTGAGTTTGGTATTTGAGAGAAACACAAAATACTAAAAAGGCTGAGATTCTACCCAGATGCACCTCGGCCCATCTCCCAGAATAATCAAAATATTGTTTGTTGTAGTATTATGTTAAAACCAACACTCATAAATCAATACATCCCTCAATTTTAATTAGGGGATGTGAAACGGTCCGTTTACTGGCTGGGAAGATCAGGGGTAGGGAGGCAGGTGAGGTGATATGTTTGACAGTTGATGCCAAGGTCTAGTGCTTATTTATTTATCTGTCCTTAAGAGTGACTAAGTTTTTCTCTTATAAAATGTCACTAAACTGACCTGGGAGACTATAATTAACATTGCTGGAATTCTTATAAGATAGTGATTAGTTTGAATATAAACATGCTGTAGTTCACATTAGACATACAAAATTTAGTTCTAACAATTTTATTATAGGGCTACTTTTTTATCTCTGGTGCAAAATATATGATGTTTATATTCAAATTATTCGCTGTCTTGCAAGGATTCTAGCAATGCAAATTATATTCTCCTAACTTTAGACTGTGATATTATATCAGATAAAAACTGTAAGCCTATAACCACTCAACCCTGGCTGGGAAGAGGGGGGGGGGGGGTGACAGTGACACGTTTGACAGTTGGGGCCGAAGGTCTAGTGAAGTATTTATTCGTTTATTTATGTCCTTTAGATTGAGTTTTGTTTTTTGTTTATAAAATGTCACAGAAGTGACCGGGGAGAATATAATACATTGCTGGAATTCTTACAAGATAGTGAATAATTTGAATATAATTATGCTATAGTTTGGACAAGGTAAAAATTTTAGTCATCATTTAGTACATTATTTTGAGTACAGTCGACCCTCGTTAATTCAGACCCCTTTAATCCGGATTTCGGATAATGCGGACGAAATTTGAACTAAGCGAGGGACTGTCCGTATCAAATTTCTGGTTCTGGGATTGTCCGATAGATGGCGCGTGCGCCAGACCGCCAGTCATTGTTGACTTAGCGCCATATTCGAGTATCAGTGTTGTGTTGCCCTGCAATTTTCGTTGATATTTCAGTGATTTGGCATCTTTCAGCCTTGTATTTTACATCATGTCTTCAAGGGGGAGTAATACGCCGAAGAGGAAGTATGTGACCCTTTCTGTGAACCAGAAACTGGAACTTATAAGGAAGTCAGAGGCTGGTGCTTCAGTGTCTAGAGTTTGTGACGAGTATGGTGTTAAAAAGCAAACAGTTTCGGACATACGTATGCAAGGCTAAGGACAAACTCACTGCATTTTCTTTTAAATGTAATGCAATATTATGCAATATTAACCCCTAAATCGGTTAATTCGGACAATCGGCAAAAACGGACACCCTTCTCCCCCTATTAGTCCGAATTAACGAGGGTCGACTGTACATATACAGTACAGCTCTGCCCTTAGGACAGTGTAGCCCAGAGAAACATAAGGCGCGAATTTTAAAATATGATGCGCCAGATTGACTCGCGCAAAATAGGAAAGATTCGCTTTAAATTAAAACATTGTCCTTAATTATGGGTGTCACATTAAATCAATAATCTTAAATTGAATATCTTTAAATCGACGTTCTACTGTAATAGGAGTCAATGGGAAAAATGGTTTCGCATAATGGAATTTCGCGATACAGAGAGATTTTTAGGAAAGGAACCTTCTGTAACCCGGGGATGTTTGTATTGTATAAGTGTTACTGGTACAGTGATATCTCCGTTAGTCGGAACAATTGGTGCAGAGCACTTCCAGGAATGAGAGATTTCCGGGTAACGAGACGACTCTCTCAAAGACGGAAAAATATCCCCCGTCCCCGGAAAAAAATCCCCCATACCCGGAATTTTCCGGGTATGGGGAAGATTTTCTCGGAATTTTTCGGAAAATGTGCCCCTCGGAAAATCGTTTCCAATCCCGGAATTTTCCGGAAAATTACGGCTTTGGGAACGATTTTCCGAGAAAATTTAAATTCCGGCTATCCGATAATGAGGACTTACTGTACAAACATTATCCAATTTTGATGACCCAAATATTGGTAAAAGATATAAACATTCCAGATGTGATTATTGCATGTTTTCCTGCAGCAAATTAACACGTTTTCTGAATCTTAAAGTCTGGTCAAATGAACATCTAAATTTCTCAAACCTCTAAAATTCAGCAAGCCAAAATCATGACCCTTAACGCTCCTTTGGGCAACCCTGATACTATATTTCTTTCTACTAAACAAAGTCTTCATAATATTAGATATTTCGCACATACAGATACCACTCAAAGGTCTCATAAGAAGGTTGTTTAGATATCTGGATGGTCCGTCACTCGTCACGATCTTCAAGAGTGAGGTGGCTCCCCATCTGGAGTACTGTCACCCCGGCTGGTCTCCAAGATAGCTGGAGACTGTCAATTGATTGAAAATGTCCAGAGGAGGGCCACCAGACTGGTGCCTGCTCTACAGCACCTCAACTACCCAAAAAGATTAGAATGCCTAATCTAAATGTATAAATATCTCAGAGGGCTCTACTCAGTCAAATGTACATACCTAGCTGGTAGACGCCTGCCCCACAAGGGGTCACAGCTCAAGGTTGAAGAAGCCACAAGTCCAGAAAACAGTGAGGACAAACTTTTACGGAGTGAGAGTTGTGAACTCTTGGATCAATCTGCCGGAAAGCATTGTGATGGCATCAAGTATGAGCTCTTTCAAGGCCAGATTTGACCAACAATGGAGCAGGTTCCGATATATTCAGGAGCTAGTGCATAACAGAGACGTGACCGACTGCCCAAGCGACTAACGAGCCGACCAGTGGCGAAGAGGATAACAGAAAATGGTAAAATCAAGTCCTCAGCCTCTCCCTCATCAATCATCACTATCTCCATCATCATCTTAATTCCACTTACATTCATTCTCAGCTTCTTCAGTTCACATAGCACATAATATTTCAATGACATCAATCTGTATTATTCAACAACATTCTTCTCAGTCATTTCAATCTGGAGACTAATTTTTACTTACTTAAATAACTCAAAAGTACAGTACAGTACAGTACAGTACAGTACAGTACAGCACAGTAAAATACGGTGAATCTTATGCACAAAGAAGAAATGACACACAAAATATACCTGAACACCGCAGGGTATTTTCTTAGGGGTAACGCTTCGTACCTCGTGACAAACTCGAGTCATGCAGGCCACAACTTCAGGCCCCAACACTGACCCCTTAAGATAGGGGAGATCAAACATGTTTTCAACGAGAATCCCGTCCTGAAACAAAGATCATAAAAAATCAATGAAAATACTTACACTAATATTAAAACAAAAAGCCACCAAAATGAGGCACTGGTCCTGAAATCCCACATGACAGCCTGAGTGTACTGAGTGACTCATGTACAGTATTGTGTTGACACCCTGGGTGTACAATAAAGATGGTTTACCAGCACAGGTGTAAACAAGAAATATGGTTTGCCAGCACAGGTGTAAACAATATGATCTGCCAGCACAGGTGTAAACAATAAAGATATATTAACTCAGAGATGAAGTCACAACAATCACTGATCTAGTTAACTCACAACACCAGCCTCAGCATAGATCTGGGCCTCTGAGCGCGCCATCTCCACCAATTTCTCCAATCTATGACGGTGCAATGGAGTTCCTGTCATTATAAGGAAAAAATAATCATCATTTATATATCATTAACAGTTCTTGGTTTTAATGATCCCTCTATCTGAATTAGCTTGAGAAGCCAATAATGACCTGGGGATAACACATTTTTCAGAGGGGTTCCATATACTGTACAGTACAGTGCTATCTGTCTGTCTCAATACCACAGAGTGCATTTATCAAATATACTCTAGTGACAAGTAATAATTTATAACTACTGTATATAACACAGGTCATCAACGCCAGCAACCAAATTGTAATAAGGCAATTTTTTTTTTTACATAGTGAAACCTTCATATACAGGTAACTGACTTCTCTCTCCATCTAAACCACTAGATGGGGAGGTTTCACATCTAAGGGACCCTTGATATAATGGACTTTCATCTCTATATAGTCGGTTAAATAGAGGATTCGCTATTAACTTTAGTCTTTATCGTACAGGATCATGGCGGTGGATCAAGAAACAGAATTAAAAATCACGTAACATACCTGGAAGAGCCTTAACGTGTATCATACCAATCACAGCACTTCTCGGCCGATGAAATACTCGTGTAAACCTCGACAGCGCCATTCTCAATAATACCTAAAAATACAACGGTTGTGCGGTGAAAACAAACAAAAATAACAAGTTTGCCCAGTCATACATCTGAGATCTAACTGGTACTAAGAAATTGGATGTTTTCCAATATTACAACTGACTCCACCAAAGGAAATTTAATAAAAAATTACTTGATTATTATTTTCATCACGACAAATTCCACAATAACAGTAACACAAGACTCGTAATCAATATCAAGCACATTAATATTTTTACTATATGTGGACCAGATAGGCCTTTAGGATATTAGCACTGTATAAAGTATAGTCTATTCGTTGTGGAAATGTCAAATGGCCCCGCCCTCTTTCTCTCATCTTGGCTTGTGATTGGCCAGTAAGAAAACAAATCATTAATGAAGTGCTGTAGATTGACTCCAATTTGCTCCCACAAAGGATACTGCCACATTACCCAATCACAAAACAATATGTCATGTTACTGGGAGGTGGAGACCATGTGAGACATTTCAATAATGAAGACTACAGTATAGTGTTACTGATGCATAATTTCACTTCAGGTCCTATCAGCTAGGCATCCACACAGTATTTTATAAATCTGTTTATTCAGGTGATCTATATAGACAACAGTACTGTACTGTACTGTACAAGGCCCAGTAAGAGTTACAGCATCATCTTCAACTTGAGATACAGCATTACTGTTTATGCCATCAATATCACTTCAGCATTGTAGAGAGATTTTTATTAAACTCATACGGTAAGTTTAGGATGGTGACTGTATTAACCCATGTACAGTACTGTACACGAGAATAATAATACATTCCCGGAGTGGAGGTGAAGGAAGAGAATGGTACTTAAAGTATAGTAGTTGTCATCATTCTCATACTGTACAGTACTGTATCAGTGTATCATCCTAATTTCATGTAGTGGTTACTGGAACAAGGATGTACTACTGTATAATAATGACTTGCTCAGTTTTCAGTTACTTAAATAATACTGTAAAACAACAAGTCAATATGAAAGCATTTGACATTCCATGTTATGAAAATTATTTTTGGGAAAAATATTCTGAAGAGAAAGTGGGTGTGTCTGTGTATGTCAATAGTGTAATGGTACTGGATACTGATAGTGTACCAGAATTGTCATTCTACAATACCTTAAATGATATTTGGATATCTTAAGGAGTTACGAGTTACACTCTGATACAGTATGTACTGTAAATATGGTATATTAATAAATTATGGTACAGTACTGTATAAATGTTTTCACTTAAAGATATATTGCAAATTTCAAATCTTTATTGGCAATGCTAGGGAGTCACAGCGCCAGTTAATTAAAGGGTTGGGGAAGACAGCATGAGCACTGTGCACTACACTCAGCTATTGAGCTTGTTTGCATATGATAATTGGGAATGAAATACTGTACAGTAGAAACATTGTCCCTTATGTCACCAGTGACACATGTATCTTACTCAATAAACAAATTCTTTCTTCCTAAATTTACTTGAAGGCATTTGGAGTGGGTTGATCTTAACATTCAGAAAAAACCTGAAATCCGGCAAAAACAGAAAAATGATACCCCTGAATTTAACAGTGACCCAGTACAGTAGTGACAGAAGCTGACTATAAAAATATGAAAAAATTTTCTGTATAAAATAAAACCTCTCACCATCAATGTGTGACACCACCACCTCCACCACCACCACTCCCCAAACCATTCAGACAATTCATTGAACTTCTGACTTCAACATTATCATCATATCAAGCTTATCATTATCATCATCATCATTAAAGGTTAGTAGCAAATGCAAATACAATTAAAACTGTTAAATGTAATGTTGTGGTACAGTACAGTACATCAACTTACTGGATGACTGAGGAAGTCATCTTGTGGGCCTGAAACCTAACCCTGTACAGTACTATATTTATGAAGGGCCCTTAGTATTTTTTTGCATGGTTTCTATTTGCCTGGTGTTTTCAAGAACAAAACCACTGTCTAACCTAAGGCAGACTGTATACACACACAAGAAGGGAGTACAGTACAGGTCAGTGCTGTATACTAAAAATAACAAAAGGACGTACTGTACTGTACTGTACCCTGTATATCTACACTATATTCCAGCCATTTACATTAGTTTTATTGGACTTTAAAATGAAATAGTGTACTGTACTAGCAGGCGGGGGAGGCGTCGAGGTCCCACACCAGGAGGGATCACGAGGCACCAATGTGATGGTTCAGACTCTATTACACCTTGAAATTGTAATTCTTTTACTGAATGAAGATTGTGTACACTTGTCTTTGAGTCATCCACTATAAAGTTTAATGTAGTATTTTGTTTACAAACATGACGACAGAACTCTTACCTTGAGAGGCAGCAGACACCAGTGTAACTGTCACCTTCTTGAAAATGAGAAGACTGCTACAGTTCTGAAATATTAATTAAACTATAGTAGGAAAGATTATGACTTGTTTCCCATTTTCCTTTTAACCCACTAAGGCCCTGAGCTCCCTCAGTAACCTGCTCCCCTCTTCCTCTTGGGTCTAGTTTACCATACGGCACTTTGAAATCCCTGCATTAATAATTTCTTAATATACAGTACAGGTACTGTATTTCTTAAAAGTTAAGTGTTAAAACATTATAAATGATACAGAAAAAGTGGGAGATATGTTACTCAAGTAAATAGAACTAGACAGATAAGAGTGCAGCATACAGTAATACTTTTAATCTCTTTATCAATGGGATGAGTGCGTGTAACCCAGGTACCGGTACTGAATAGATAAAAATCTTAACAGAAAGTAAGAGTTTGTTCAATATAATATAATAGTTGCTTTAGTTGACCTGATCAATTTTTGGTAAAAATCATCAGTGAATCCTATGTACCTTTCTCCTTATCTAAAGTCCACTTAGATACAGTGTACAGCACAGGTATAGACCCTCAGAAAACAAGAGATCATCAAAAACCAGACATTTTCTTCCCTGGCTACATCAAGTTTTGCTACCACACACCTACACAAACTCTGTACAACATTTGGTTTACTTCTTAAATAACAGAATAAAGAAAACACCATTGCAAACTTTAAATACAAAAATTAATTAAATGTTGTAATTTTGCAGATTGAGACTTCCCTAGGTAGGTGTACACGACACTACAGTATATGTTGGGTTTGTTAACATGTGACTCCCAGAAGCTTCATGTGTCACGAGACATTTGTCTGATCAAATAACTAGCCTAATATTTTACAATGATTATCTTTATTTGTATTAATCTAATATTAGTGTGTTCACACAGCTGAATGTTCCTTGTAAGTAACATTAATTCTCTTCTCTGCTACTTTCTTGAAAACAATAATGCAGCAAATGTGTTAGCCAATATTTTGTTAAATACAGTACTGTTCCTGCAGACAACAAAACAGTACAGGTACAATATCATTTATTCTCTATATTCTGTATAGTATATGATTTTATACTTCATTTTACTGTTTCACAAATATTTGTTACCACATAAAGTACATTAATGTTTTCAAGAACTTGCAAGCTTCTCTTGTGTGCCAATGACAGTGCTCTTTTAGTTTCAAGTAAAGATCCAAATGATGTAGCCTAATGAGTTATCATCTGAGTTGTAATCATGCAAACAGTGGCTCATAAACAACAAATTATCCCTGCATCCTGGAAAGACTGAGGCAATATTATTTGGATCAAAAAATAAATTCATAAGTGTAAACCAATTTATTGTACTATGTAGGAATGAACCCGTCTCAACTGTAACCTCAGTGAAATTCCTTGTACTAACTCTTGAATCTTGTCTGTCTGGAGACTTAATCATAGATTATATATTAAATAAAAGTAATGCCTGGATAAAATTTATCCATAGAAATTCTAAATGCCTCTCAGTTGATGCCCAAAGGACCCTTTGTTTGGCATTCATACAATGTCACTTGGACTATTCCTGCTTGTCACGATACTGTACTCTAAAACAGAATCTAAAATTCAAGCTAGAAATTATTCCAAACAAGATGGTGAGGTTCATTCCTAACATGAACATAATAGATCACGTTGGTCATGAAGAACTACAGGTACTGTACAATCACTGGACATGATAAGTGACGGATAGAGAGAGGCAACTGAGGCTGAATCACACTTACAGAGTATCTAACAACAAACTTTGCAAGGATTAGGGATATGAACCGGCAGGGCACTAGAGGGACTGAACACAATTTAATGATACCTGGTGTCCGCAGTCAAGTAAAAAGCACTTCTTTATAGCTATATTGGACCGGAACGAGCTACCAGACCACATTAAAAGCAGTAATGGCTTCAAATAATTCACAGGTAAAACTGTAAAATACATAACAGATGAAGCTACAGCAAGAGAATTTCTACATTATTAACCATGAGGCATGAGGTGGACTTCAACTCATGTTTGTCTGTTTCACGTATGACATGCCAGGACATGTCATAAATTAAACACACTGTGAAGGCCTATATGGGTGTAATGATTTCTTTTGGCTTCAAGGGAAAGAATACTGTACTGTGACTTAATGCTAAAAAATACAAGGGGATGCAGCTTACTTGAAATAGGAGTAAGGTACCACACCACGTCTCACTGTAATAAAGACATTTCCCCACGAGAACCTAGATGTGACACAGTTCTGAGTGTTTGTGACAGTTCTGAGTGTTTGTGACACAGTTCTGAGTGTTTATGACAGTTCTGAGTGTTTGTGACACAGTTCTGAGTGTTTGTGACACAGTTCTGAGTGTTTGTGACACAGTTCTGAGTGTTTGTGACACAGTTCTGAGTGTTTGTGACACAGTTCTGAGTGTTTGTGACACAGTTCTGAGTGTTTGTGGCACAGTTCTGAGTGTTTGTGGCACAGTTCTGAGTGTTTGTGACAACTCAGGGTGTTTATACTGGTATGACAATAAGCTTAAGCTCTTGGATCTCCATGAGACTAAGGTGAACTTAGCTAATAACCAAGTTGGATTATTAGAAAGATCATATACATTCCTACTTGGTCTGTCTCTAATAAGGGTTTTAAGAAGTGTAGTACTGTACAGGTGCTCCTCTACTTACGAACGAGTTACGTTCCTGAGGCTTGTTTGTAAGTTCAATTATTTTTAAGTCCTACTTTACTCTTGTAGATACCAAATATATTGTAAAAAATTAAAAGATTATGGATATTTAGTACAGCTATACCCTTTAATACAGCCTTAAAACCTGACTCACTCTTCTCCTCTAAAGCCCCGTCCACACAATCGAGCAATGCCCGGCAGGCTTTGCCCGTTTACCGGGCAAAGCCTGTGTGTTGTTGCACACACGGGGCTGGTTGGTGGCAGTCATAGTCGGGCGCCGGTAGCTAGTAGGTGGTCGGCAGTGGTGGGTGTGGTACTATCACCATGGTGTCGCAGGAATAATCGCCGGAATAATCGCCGGACAGTTAAATCGAAGAGCATAGCGTTGTGTACTATAATAATTGCTGCTATGTGCAAAAAGAAGAACCAAATGCAGAAAAGGGAATGGTGCAAAGAGTGGTTAGGTCGAAGAAAAGTATTGGGAAGTCATGCCACGATTTTACATGAACTGCAAGATGGACATGAGCAAGACTTAACCAATTACATGAGAATGGACCCCAACACCTTTTACAAACTTCTAGCGAAAGTGGAACCATATATAAAAAACAGGATACCAATATGAGGGAGAGTATATCTGCAGAGGCTTGACTAGAGGCAACGCTCATATATCTTTCAACTGGGTACACCTACACGTCACTTCAGTATAGAACGAGGATATCAAAACAAAGTTTGTCTCGCATAATACCTGCAACTTGTCAAGTCATGTATGAAGTACTCAAGGAAGATTACTTGCAGGTGAGATTTGTAGTACATAAAAATTCATTGAATAATGTTAGAATTATGATATGCATAGACAGGAAGCTGTGGGACTAGAGTGAGGAGAGCGGCAGGAACAAAGAACACACACGAATGTCCTCATTAAATAATACATAAACAATCTCCCGTTTATTGTCACGCCAATAATGTACATTACATAAGCTTATCTGGTTATACACTGGACATCTGGACCGAGCGGGGAACATATACGTATTACATTTGCAGTACTTAAAGTTGTATCTCTATATCCGGCAGCAAACCACCAGGCAGGCGGACCATGATTTCGCTCAACGACGGGCACGTGCACTCCGCTGGTTTGCTTGCCAATTTTGCCCGATAACGGGAATTTAGTGTGCACCCGCCGGGCACTGCTCGATCGTGTGGACGGGCCTTTAGGTAATGCTTGTTCTAACTGGAATTTTCTTCAAAATAATCCAGTCTCATCCATATTAAACACCTGTTCTGGCAGGTAACACCCCTCAGTGATGAAGTTTGTATCTTTGAAAGTTGAACGTTCTTAAGTAGAGGAGCACCTGTACTAGTACCTTACTTGGAGTACACACCTCACCTACCAGAGAAGACTACAATATTTATAACTGCCCAGTTTACAGTACAGAAGAGTAATAAGAGTATCACAGCACCTTAATGACCACTACTCAGTCATAACTCAACATCTGCATCACTAGAGGTCACACTGTTACACTAGAGAAGCTATCAATAGAGGCAGTCCCTGTTTCACAAACTAAACACTGAAAGTGTCCCCAGGCACAAATAAAATCCATTTTTTTTAAATAAAAACATGAACAAATACTTCAAGTACACAATTATCAAAAAATAAGTGTAAATGAACTCATTTTTACATCATAAATTAATAATATACTGTACAGTGGGGTATGCTATAACGAATCTAATTGGTTCTAGAACCTTGTTCGTTATAGCATTCGTTCGTTATAGGATTAATCCGTTCCAGGCCCCCAAATACAACCACTTAACACTGAAAAATATAATATATAATTGTAAAAATTGTAAAAAAGTGCATAAATATGCATCTAAACCCCTGAAATAACCAATATCATTAATACTTGTAATAAAAAAACAATAAATTAGTAAAAAAAAAATAAATATATTTTTTTAAATAATGCTCGTTGTAGGAGTTTCGTTCGTTATAGCATTCTCAATTTTATAGGTAAAACCGTTCGTTATAGGAATATTCGTAGTAGGATCCGTTCGTTATAGCATACCCCACTGTACTGTAGTACCATTGTTACTGGTACTGTACTGTATGTACAGCAGTTGCTTTATGCTTATCACCCATTGTTAATAATGGAAAATGTTCACCAAATGAACAATCAGGGTAAAACCACAACACTGTACAAAATGTGTATGGCACCCTCAAAATATGCAGGTGCAGTAGGCTATGGGAGGAAATTTGTGTCAAAGTGATGCACAGTGTTCATTATCCAGCAATCAAGTGTCTTGAATTCTTGCATTTCACCAATTGGTGAAACACAGTCATAACATATAATGTTCATATGAGCAGATATTCATATAACAGATGGTCAGAAACTGAGGATTGCCTGTACAGAAAACTGTCAAGAGCTAACTTCTTTGGTGTAAGAGTTGTGAACTGTTGTAATAACCTGCCAGAGAATGTTATGGTGCATCAAGTGTGAGTTCATTTATGTCTAGACTTGACCTACACTGGCATATGTTCAGGTACATTCAAGAGCCCATCCATGTGCAGTACTTGTCAACAGTGTGTAACATAACCGGTACACGTCCAGTACTTGTCAACAGTGTGTAACAGAGGGCCCATACATGTCCAGTACTTGTCAACAGTGTGTAACAGAGGGCCCATACATGTCCAGTACTTGCCAAGTGTGTAACAGAGGGCCCATACATGTCCAGTACTTGCCAACAGTGTGTAAAAGAGGGCCCATACATGTCCAGTACTTGCCAAGTGTGTAACAGAGGGCCCATACATGTCCAGTACTTGCCAACAGTGTGTAAAAGAGGGCCCATACATGTCCAGTACTTGTCAACAGTGTGCAACAGAGAGCCCATACATGTCCAGTACTTGTCAACAGTGTGTAACAGAAGTGATCCACTGCCCAAGTGACTAATAAGCTGGTAAGTTACAAGGAGCCTTATGTTTAATGACCTGTCTCTTTCTTGTGGATTGGTGTTATTATGGCAACCTTATGTGCTACCAGTGTTTTAATTCGGAGGCATCAGCCATTAAAGACCTAGATGGGATGTTATCAAGCTTGTCTTCTTGTAGGGGTCTAGTTTAAACATTGAGGTGTTTTAGACTGACATATTATGGGGTTCAAGACTGTCTGGATCAATTCCTTTCCTTCTGTAGTAAGATTAAAAGTATCTGATTCTATACTATAGTTACTTGAGGCTACCGGAAAATTATCGACCAATGATGGGGCAACTGATGTACAGGAGTAAAAAGAGATAACTGCTTCTGATGCAACATGATAGATTTTATTATCAAAACTATATACCATGTAGCAATAGAATGTCTTTTTGGTTTGTGGTCTGTCCAAGAGATTCTACCTGTCATCAGATTTTTGGGGGGATTACTGTACTGTACTTTTAAATTCCTAAATCTTACTGTTCAGGTATTTTACTGGAGTTGACGATAGAGCAGAATGCGTGTTCTTATTACCAGTGTGTCCCGGGTTCAATCACTGGCCCAGTCAGATGTAACTGTACCAAGCAAATCAGGTTTTCTCTGTACTATATGCAGGTTTCCTCCTGTACCAACACTGGACAATGAAGGTATTGAGAAAGGGTACCGGTATACTGTATAGTAGTCTAGATCAACAACATGCGAGTAAAAAATTTCTTAACTCTCTTTGGAAGACCTAAAAAAAAATATGTGGAGGAATTTCAACATTACAACTTTTCTTGCTACAATGTTATAAGATAAGATGAATCAAATAAACCTACCTATTTTAAAATGGAAGGATATTATTTTTGGTTAGAATTGGAAGGTTAAGGTACATTGGTTAGTTAGGTTCGGTGAGGTATGGTCCCTGGGAAACATTCAGTTGGTTGCTGGGAAATGTTTGTTAACAGAAGAAACACAAAATTGGTGTCCACACATGTAAGCACCTTATGTATGCTTAACAAAATAAAGGAAAACAAAAGTAAGAACGTTGCCATTCCTCCACTTTTTAATATTTTACAGGTAAGGAAAGAGTTTGCTTCTGAATAATGCTTTTCAAGGTGGCTCCTCGTCATGAATCAGTGTCTTAGACTATTACAGCAACAAATAATATACAACCTGGCCAAATGGCTAGTATGCTGGTAAGTGGTGGAAATAATAAGTTAGATTATACTGTATTATACTATATTATACATATATTCTTACCCTACAAAGTTCTTTATATGACTCATCATCCTCTCTTAATCAATTGTAACCATGTGAATGAATTAATCTCTGTTTGGTGGATGATAATACAGCACAGGATAGCATATAGTAAGTCATACTGTATATGCCTGCTTAATCTTAATGTAGATGGTTCACCTGAAGATTAAGCACCCTAGTATATTTCAACTGACAAATTGCCTAACTTCATCTAACCTAACTTAAGCTAACGTAACTCGACCTAACCTAACTTAACTCATCTTAAGCTAACTTAACCAAATTACCCAATAGCTTAGCATAATTTATTGACCTAATCTAATTCAACCTAACCTAGCTTAACGTAGCCAAACTTAACCTAATCTAATCTAATCTAATCTAATCTAATCTAACCTAACCTAACCTAACCTAACCTAACCTAACCTAACCTAACCTAACCTAACCTAACCTAACCTAACTTAATCTAACCTATCTAAACCTATCATAGTTTAACCAAGCCTAACTTAGACTAACTTCTCTAAACTTAACCTAACTTAAACTAACAAAAATTTACCTAACCTAACCACCAGGAAGCATTAGGGTGTTTAATGATGAGGTGAAATATCCTAAGCTACAGTGTCAGCTCTGTAGTAATGTCACTACTCACTAGTGTGTCAGCTCTGTAGTAATGTCACTACTCACTAGTGTGTCAGCTCTGTAGTAATGTCACTACTCACTAGTGTGTCAGCTCTGTAGTAATGTCACTACTCACTAGTGTGTCAGCTCTGTAGTAATGTCACTACTCACTAGTGTGTCAGCTCTGTAGTATATGTCACTACTCACTAGTGTGTCAGCAATGTCTACTCACTAGTGTGTCAGCTCTGTAGTAATGTCACTACTCACTAGTGTGTCAGCTCTGTAGTAATGTCACTACTCACTAGTGTGTCAGCTCTGTAGTAATGTCACTACTCACTAGTGTGTCAGCTCTGTAGTAATGTCACTGTGTCACTCACCAGTGTGTCAGCTCTGTAGTAATGTCACTACTCACTAGTGTGTCAGCTCTGTAGTACTCACTAGTGCGTCAGCTCTGTAGTAACGTAGTACAGCTTGAGTGAAGGCTGCCTGCCCTGCACCTCACAGCCCAGCAGGTGTAAACAATACCTAGTCACTCCACGAACAGCTATAGACCGGTGAGCCTGACCAGCATAATGTGTAAAGTACTTGAGAGTATTATCAGAGATGCCGCGATGGAACATCTACTACGAAACAACCTTGTAGAGGATTTGCCAAGGCGCTCCCGCTTAACACAATTGCTCAAGGTACTGGATATTTGGACCCATATTCTGGAAAGGGGTGGTAATATCGACAATATTTACCTAGATTTTGCCGAGGCTTTCGACAGTGTACCCCACGAAAGGCTGAACATCAAACTGGAAGGGTACGGAATTCGGGGAAATGTCCTAGCGTGGATAGAAGACTTTCTACATGACCACAAGCAGTGTGTGGTGATTAATGGCACGAAATCACCATCCGTACCTGTCACAAGCAGGGTACCACAGGGCAGTGTATTGGGCCCGCTGTTGTTTGTTAATTTCATTAATGACATGCCTGACGTTGTACACTCCTCCTTACAAATGTTCGCCGATGACGCCAAGTTATTTCGGGAAATCAAGAACCAAGCGGACTGTGAAGAGCTGCAGAAGGATCTCTGTGAGCTCCAAGAATGGCCAAAGAAGTGGCTGCTGAGATTCAATGTCACGAAGTGTAGGAGGATGCACCTGGGGTGTACCAACGGTAAGGAGGCGTATCATATGTCCCAATAGGCCGAAGAAACTACGCTACTTGAGACTGAATGTGAGAAGGACCTAGGTGTGTATGTTGACAATGAGCTGAAGTTCTCGGGCCATTGCGAGAAGGTAAATCAGGCAAATAAATTATTGGGTCTTATAAGAAGGTCGTTCAGATATCAAGAGTCCTAGACGGTCCGTCCCTCGTAACGATCTTCAAGAGTGAATTGCTTCCCCCATCTAGACTTCTGTCATCCCGTCTGGTCCCCGAGATATGCTAGGGACTGTCAGTTGGTTGAAAATGTTCAGAGGGCCACCAGACTGGTGCCTGCACTTCGGCAACTCAGCTACCCTGAGCTTATACTACAGACGGGCAAGGGGTGACCTAATTGAAGTATATAAGCATCTCAAGAGGCACTACTCAGTCGAGTGCCCTTACTTGGAGCTGGCGGACGCTCGCCCCACAAGGGGTCACAGCTCAAGATTGAAGAAGCCGCAAGTCCAGAAAACTGTGAGGGCAAACTTTTTCGGAGTGAGAGTTGTAAACTCTTGGAACAATCTACCAGAAAGTGTTGTGACAGCACCGAGTGTGAGCTCTTTCAAGACAAGACTTGACCAACACTGGAGCAGGTTCAGGTACATTCAGGAGTCGGTGCATGCCCAGTACCTGCCAACAGTACGTGACAGAGACGTGACCGATCGCCCAAGCGGCTAACGAGCCGATTATTTGGTGAAGAGGCGCAGTTTATAACTTAAGCAAGTTGCATTATGGTTATATATAAACTTCTGTAATCAGAGGCGACAGGGACTTAATTATTATAAACTTTTGCTTTTTACTTTTTTCCTCTTCGCCCTGATCGGCTCGTTAGCCGTCCCTAGGGGAGTGCTGGGCCCCGCAGTGGATGAATTGACCTGGGCCCCGCACCCCCCTAGGGACGGCCCTGTTGGTCAGGCTCACCAGTCTACAGTTGTTCGTGAAATGACGATCGCCCTTCCAATCACTGGAGACCTTTTGTTCATCCAGGCATTTGCAGAACAGGATCTCCAGGGGCTCGGCAAGCTCGATGCACCAAGTCAGGGCCGGAACTCTTATGGACCTTTAGCTTTGACAGTTTATTTCTTATACCCTCTTCTCTGAACACAGAGCCAAGAAAACAAAAAGTTTTAAAAGGTTTAGAAAAAATACAGGCGATATACAATAAAAACGTAACATTATACCAAAATTTACCTTCAACAAAACTAAAAAAAAAAGAGCATTCGAATTTAAAATCAAGAAAAATGACGAGACCTACGAACAAAACTAAAATCAGAAAAAAATAAAATAAAATATACAGGGGATATTATTACCTTAATTTAGACGAGCCTTAGTGCGAAAAACACAACAATTCACAGGAAGCCGTATCACAAATGGACTTTATACTGATGCAAGGTTTCCAAATGAGGAGGTCCGTCTCACAGTTGCTCCTGCCAAAAACTGAGAAATCAGATTGTGAAAACGGGTGGTCATGTTGGTGGGCGTGGTTACGGATAGCTGAATGTGGTGGTTGTGTGATTAACTGGCCTGTTCGGAGGGAACGGCCCAAGTGCTCATGGATGCGAGTTATCAAATGTCTTTTTGTTTTACCTATATATGCTGCCCTACAGCTAGCACACGTAAATTGTTAAACAACTGAGGATTGCAGGTGTGTGGGTATGGTGTCTTTAATTTTAACGATTTTTTTAATTGAACTCTGGGTTTTGAAGACCAGTCTAAGAGAAATTTGTGGATATAATTCATTGAAAAGCTTCTTAAGCTTGTTTCTAAGGGTGAAACTGAGCGGGCCTGTGTGCGGAATGGTGAAATAGATAGAATATTTAGGAACGGTGTGGATTTAAACTTTTTAAAACTTTTTGTTTTCTAGGCTCTGATGATGGAAAACGATTTTCCGAAACCTTTGACCTTATGTCAGCAGATGCATTGCCTAACTATGCTGGTCACTCATCCTTCAGGTGGTCTCCTGAATCTGGTTGGTAAGGTGAGGTCAGCTTAACGCGGTCACTAATTCTGGTGTTGGGTGAGGTAAGGACCGCGGGGCTCCCATTAGCGCGGGGCCCGGGGCGGTCGCACCGGTTGCCATACCCTTGGGACGGCTCTGCTGACCGACATACTGTAGTATGTAAAGTACTTTAGAGCATTATCAGAGATGCCGCGATGGAACATCTACTGCGAAACAACCTTGTAAAGGATTGACAACACGGTTTTATGCCGGGGCGCTCCTGCTTAACACAATTGCTCATGGTATTGGATATTTGGATCCATATTCTGGAACGGGGTGGTAATATAGACAACATATATTTAGATTTTACCAAGGCTTTTGACAGTGTACCCCATGAAAGGCTGAAAATCAAAGTGGAAGGGTACGGAATTCGAGGAAATGACCTTGCGCGGATAGAAGACTTTCTACATGACCGCAAGCAGTGTTTGGTGATTAATGGCACGAAATCATCATCTGTACCTGTCACAAGCAGGGTACCACAGGGCAGTGTATTGGGCCCGCTGTTGTTTGTTTGTTTCATAAATGACATGCCTGATGCTGTACACTCCTCCATACAAATGTTCGCGAAAGATGCCAAGTTATTTCGGGAAATCAAGAACCAAGCGGACTGTGAAGAGCTGCAGAAGGATCTCTGTATGCTCCAAGGATGGTCTAAGAAATGGCTGCCTAGATTCAATGTCACGAAGTGTAAGAGAATGCACTGGGGCGTACCGACGGTAAGGAGGCGTATCATATGTCCCAATGAGATGAAGAAACTGCACTATTTGAGACTGAATGTGAGAAGAAGGTAAATCAGGCAAATACATTTTTGGGTCTTATAAGAAGGTCGTTCAGATATCTAGACGTCCGTCCCTCGTAACGATCTTCAGGAGTGAGGTGCTTCCCCATCTGGAGTACTGTCACCCAGTCTGGTCCCCGAAATAAACTAAGGGCTGTCAGTTTATTGAAAATGTTTAAAGGAGGGCCACCAGACTGGTGCCTGCACTTCGGCCCCTCAACTACCCTGAGAGATTGGAGCGCCCGAACTTGCCAAGCTTATACTGCAGACGGGAAGGGGCGACCTAATTGAGGTGTATAAGCATCTCAAGGGGCTCTACTCAGTCGAGTGTCCTTACCTGGAGCTGGCGGACACTCGCCCCACAAGGGGTCACAACTCAAGGATGAAAAGGCCACTGGTCCAGAAAACTGTGAGGGCAAACTTTTTTCGGAGTGAGAGTTGTGAACTCTTGGAACAATCCGCCAGAAAGTGTTGTGACGGCATCTAGTGCGAGCTCTTTCAAGACCAGAATTGACCAACACTGGAGCAGGTTCGAGTACATTCAGGAGCCGGTGCATGCCCAGTACTTGCCAACATTGCGTGACAGAGACGTGACCGATCGCCCACGCAGCTAGCGAGCCGATTAGTGGTGAAGAGGATAAAAACGAAAATTACTATTGGCGGGACCGAGGTGTCTCCTTTTGAACTTCATGACATTGAATCTTAGCAGCCATTTCCTCGACCATTCATGAAGCTCACAGATATCTTTCTGCAGCTCTTCACAGTCTGTCTGGTTCTTAATTTCCCTAAATAACTTGGCATCGTCCGCAAACATTGGTATGGAGGAGTGTATAGCTTCTGGCATGTCATTAATGAAACAAACAACAATGGGCCCAATACACTGCCCTGTGGTACCCCGCTAGTCTCAGGTACACATGACGCTTTCGTACCATTAATCACCACACACTGCTTGCGGTCATGTAGAAGGTCTCCGATCCACACTCGGACACTTCCCCGAATCCCGTACCCTTCCAGTTTAATTCTCTGCCTTTCATGAGGTACACTGTTGAAAGCCTTGGTAAAATCTAGGTCTATATTGTCGATATTTCTGCCTTGTTCTAGAATTTGAATCCGAACATTTAGTATCTTGAGTAATTGTGTTAAGCAGGATCTTCCCGACATAAAACCGTGTTGGAAGATTTATATCCATTGATCGAAAAGTAATCCGTAATGAATCGGGTGAGCGATTAGCGGTACTCGGGGCTTTGCACGGTACTATAATTATACTATACGTGACATCTTGATCTGCCCAGCACTGTACTACGTCAGGTGTTCTCTCGAAGGTGGGTTTCATCCGTTTGGTCACTGATCGACCTCTTGGTTAGCCGCTTGGGCGGTCGGTCACGTCTTGGATACGCACTGTTGGCAATGTATCTGAACCTGCGCCAGTGCTGGTCAAGTCTGGCCTAAAATATACTCACTTTCGGTGCCGTCACAATTAACACTTTTTGGCAGGTTAGTGCGAGAGTTTACAACTCTTACTGCAATAAAGTTTGTCCTGATAATTTTCAGAATGTGTGGCTTCTTTAACCTGAAGCAAAGTATACTACCTCGAGTGGAGCGGGCATCAGCTAGTTCCAGACA